AACACATAGATGAGAGACCTTGCAAAATTCGTCTGACAACAGTGTTCTGTTTGAGCTCTCAAGCCTTCTTCCAGCTGAGTTCACAGGAAAATTCCAAGATTTCTTGGTTAAGACTGTTTTAAATCATTTCAGCCTAACAAGGTTTGATTACATACACTCTCCAAGACTGGTTAGCCAACATAACTCTTTTTTCTGATTTACATATAGTCAATTCTAGCTGAGCATAGGTGGGGATCATAATGGCTATTATCTATTGAGCATCTGCTTTGTACCAAACATTACAGTTCCAAGAGTCAGAAATCCCAGTTTAAGCAATAGAAAAAAGATATTATTTTGGTGTTTCTGTGACCCAGCCCAGTACTTAGTCTATGGTGATAATTTTAAGAAATGCCTTTCAAACTAAATGAAGTACTTAGATGAAAACATATTAGTAAAGGACAAAAATGCTCTCTCGCATAACTGAATTAAACTTAAATATTTTTATTTTGTACGTTACTGTTCTATTGTTTAAAAGTTTTGTAACTAGGTAATAACTATTCATCATCTAATAGTTGCTTTGCAATTTGTTCATTTAAGAGTAATTATTGTATAACTGTTATGTGCTAAGTGGTCTGTCAGGTGTAATCCTTCCTCTATGGGAGCTTTCAGTCTAGAGATTCTGGAAGAGCTGATGGCTAGTAGCAGATGCAAGTGTATTACCTTTCCTTTATTTAATATTTTTATTCTGAATCTATTATTTCCTGCATTGAGAGAGGAAGAGGATGATTAAGTCACATTTTAACTTATCTACCTACTCACAAAGTAGTGCCACACATTTTTTGTGTATGGATGGGCATGTGGCACTCTGAAACATTTCAGGATGTCCTTCAAACAGGAGCTTTGAGGTTAATGAGAATCTTAGGTATGGACAAGGAGCCCATAATGCTCTCCTGAACACAAGCTGTTGCTGTTCTTTTGCATTCATAATCTCTGCTTTCTGGTATTGTTACTTATCTTTCTATTTAGGCTCTGCTGTCCCACTTGGATTAAAGTTCTTCAATAAAAGCCATCATCTCTTATCCCTCATAATTGCTTCATTATTTAGTATAATATCATTCACTCATTCAAAAGGCTGTTTCTATAAATTAGGCATTGTGGTAACTCTGGAAAATAGACAGGAACAAGATACGGCCCTAGCGCCAAGGAGCTTAAAATCTGAAAGGAAATAAAAGAGTAAAATGTGTAACAAAAGGCTAATAATTAAAATTAAATTAGAGATCAGTGTATTAGTACCAAATGTTTATGGATATCAAGATGACTTCTCAAAATAGGCATTTTTAAGCAGGACCTTTAAAGAGAGAAAAAACATTATGCATATGAAAGTGGAAATAAGACATCCACCTAGAGGAGTACATTGGCATTTTGGACACTTTCAAATAAAGCGTTATTAACAAATGTTATATTCATTTTTCATTTAGAGTTTATGAATCATGATGAATGTGTGAAGGAAGTGAGAGGTGCAGGGTTAGGAAAAATATTGTATGAAACCAATGTTTTTGAAATCTCAAATAGGCATCTAAGTAAAGTACAGGTGTGTTAGATTTTTCATTTGTCATTAGGTGATATAATGCAGAGTGAATTACCAAGCAAAAAGTTTTCTTTTTTCTTTTTTTTTTTTTTTGCTGAGGAAGATTCACCCTGAGCTAACATCTGTGCGAATCTTCCTCTATTTTGTATGTGGGTCACTGCCACAGCATGGCCGCTGAAAAGTGGTATAGGTTTGTGCCCAGGAACTGAACCAGGGCAGCTGAAGCAGAGCGTGCCGAACTAGGCCATGGGGCTGGCCTCAGATAGCTTTCCCTTTTAACATCAAAGTTGTTCTTCATGTCATTCATTCATTGAAAGTGCATTTATCGGGGCCAGCCCAGTGGCACAAGCAGTTAAGTGCGCACGCTCTGCTGCGGCAGCCCAGGGTTCACTGGTTCAGATCCCGGGCGCACACCGACGCACTGCTTGGCAAGCCATGCTGTGGCGGCATCCCATGTAAAGTGGAGGAAGATGGGGACAGATGTTAGCCCAGGACCAGTCTTCCTCAGCAAAAAAAAAAAGAAGGGGGATTGGCAGATGTTAGCACAGGGCTGATCTCCTCACACAAAAAAAGAAAGTGCATTTATCAAATAGTTATTCTGTGCCAGGAATTATGGGTACAAATATGTGTAAAATAAAGTCCCTGACCTCAAAAAAGATCATAATGTCTAGGAAGACATACAAGTGAACACAGTTACAAGATAGTACAATAAGTGTTATAATAAAGAGAAACAAGAGAGTGTCCAACTAGGTTTGGCATTCTTCTTCTACAAGCACTTATATGAAGAGTCATCTACAATTTGTCCTCAATAGTTAAAGAAGGAAGTATAGTGTGGTCTAATGCTTGTCAAAGCAAACGTGCAAATTATTTTTTGGAGGAGGAGATTACTAACTTCACTACACCTTAGTTTCCTTAGCTATAAGAGGGAAATAATAATAAAAGTGACAATAGAAAAATCTAGTGTGGCTTCTATAACCACCTGTAAGAGATTTTAAATTCTTTGGGGGGGGAAGTCCTGCTAATTAAATGAAATAATTCATGTAAAGCACATAGCTCAGTGTCTACCATGTAGAATGTGCTCATAATATTAGTTATTGTTAATTATTGTTAATTACTTATAAAGGTATGTCTTCCCCACTAAACTGTAAGCTCCGTGAGGAGAGGAGGAATCTTTTCCATAAGATCTGAACAGATGTTCATTCATTATCTGATCATTGTTAGGTAGTTCTAATATTGTTCAAAAAGCCCTTCTTGTTTTTAAGAAATATAATTTGCCTCATTTATGGTCACATCAGTCCTTAAAAACATCTCTGCTAGTTGAGGGTACTTAATAATGTTATTAGATGATCCTATATTTTACAAATGAGGAGATATATTCAAATAAATTGAATACATGACTCCCAAGGGTACACAGCTTAGACAGGACCAGATCCAAAGTTTAAGTCTAAGACTTCTGACTCTAAGCCCAGTGCTTCTCACAAAACTATAAGCAAAAGCTCTCAGCAAATATACCCCATGCTCAGTAACCCCAAGCCGTATAGTGATTGAGAGTAAGGCAGACATTGGATTATGTCTTAGCTTTGTGACTTTGGGTGATTTACTTCATCTCATTAAATTTCAGTTTTCCTGTGTGTAAAATGGGAAGAGTGTTAGTCCCAGCCATGAAGGTTCTGATATTGATTAAACGAGTAAATGTAGATAAAGCGTCTCATTTATAATAAGTGCTCAATAAATATTATTCTTTTGCCATTCCTGGTTTTAGATTTGACAATAGGAACATTAGGAGACATTTAATAAATATAGGATATTGTTAGAAAGGGATTAGGAAACTCCCCCCTTCCTGTCCTAGGTCACCTAGGGGTTGTCTTGGTTCACTGTTGACAGATTAACTTTCCCACATCTCTTCACTTTGCTCAGAAATTCTTTATCAAAGTACCCACGATTCTCTACCGTCTAGCCCTGTCTCTCCTCACTCTTTCCCTTTTCTAAAGCAAACTATTTACTATTCCTTGAATATACCCCAAGTTTTCTGCCTTTGTCTACGCCTTTGGCTCCCCAAAATTTTATTCTCATCTCCACTGGTTCACGGTTCTGTTAAATACAACACTTCCTTGAGGCACTCCTAGCTAGAGTCCATGCATGAAATCTCCCTCATAAATTGTAAGAACACAGTTGATTTTATAAAGCATGTGGTTATCCTCTCCTTCTAGACATCATTGTTTTTTTTAAGAGTTTATAACAGGAATAAAATGATATGCAATTGATTCTTCAGGTTGATTCAACAAAGACTAATTTCATCCCTACGAAGTACAGCTGGGATATGAAAATGGACAAAGTCTCTGCCTTCAGTAAGTTCCAATATTATTTCTTTAAAAATGGTTTTATTATGTAAAGGGAGGAATAATTCCCTAAAAGTTTATTTATTTTTTAATAAATGGTTCTTTCTTTTTTTTTTTTTTTTTCTGAGGAAGATCAGCCCTGAGCTAACATCCATGCTAATCTTCCTCTTTTTGCTGAGGAAGACCAGCTCTGAGCTAACATCTATTGCCAATACTCCTCCTTTTTTTCCCCAAAGCCCCAGTAGATAGTTGTATGTCATAGTTGCACATCTTTCTAGTTGCTGTATGTGGGACGGGGCCCCAGCATGGCCCGAGAAGCAGTGCGTTGGTGCGTGCCCAGGATCCGAATCCAGGCTGCCAGTAGCTGAGCGCAGGCACTCAACGGCTAAGCCACCGGCGGCCCCCCTGAAAGTTTATTAATATCAATGATATGAAGAGAAAGCACAGGTGGCAATTCAATTGATGCCAGCTCCTCCTTAACTACCCGAAACAGCGCCAGAACTGAACACCACCTTTTTACACCTGACTTTACTCATTATAGTGCTATAAAGCATTCCATAGGATTTTAGAGCTGAAAAAAGTTCTTGAGAGATGACTTAGTCTAGTCTACCAAGTAGCCTGGAGCCGTATGTCTTTTCGTAGGCACACGAAAGAGGAGCGTTGTATTGAATTACGCAGAAAATCCTTAGTTTTCTTTTTGCTTGTCAGATTTTGGTCTGGGATTGGAGAAGGGAGAGTAGCTCCCTCCTTCCTTCCTTCCCTCCTTTCTTCTCTCTTTCCTTCCCTTCCTTCCTTCTTCTCTCCCTTCCTTCCTCCCTCCTTCCCCGACTCTTTTCTTCCTTCCTTTCATTTTAAATAAGCAAGAGCTAGACATTTTCAACATAAACTTTTTTTTTAAGCGCCTCCCCAAAGGGGCCGGGTTTTCTGCTTCAGTCGACTGGAGTTGCCTCCCTCTCGCCGGGATTGGTTGAGTAGGCACAAGTACTTTTAGGGCGGAGAAACTGGACCCCGGGGCTGGGAGTGGATTGTCGCCTGCAGTCGCGGATCAGCAGGGCAGAAGCGGGAGGCAGCCTTTGCCCTGCGGCGAGGCCGCAGCGGGGCCGCAGCAGAGGGCAGATCCAGGAGGCCCCGCCGGCCGGCGCCGAGATGTGGAACCCCCTCCACGAAACCGACTCGACCTTTGTCGCGTGGCGCCGCCCGCGCTGGCTGTGCGCCGGGGCGCTGGTGCTGGCCGCCGGCCTCTTTATCCTCGGCTTCCTCTTCGGTAGGGGCGCCTCGCCGCACGCAGCCCGGAGCCTACCCAGTTACTTGTCTCCCCTGGGGCGGTGATTTGGGTTGCGGGAATATGGGGATGAGTCCGCGAGTGTGAGACAGAGGCTGGGGGGGGCGGTGCACGGTTGCGTTCTGGAAAAGCTAGTGTAGGACAGGGTCACCTAGGGTAGGGAGTAGGACGGAGAGACGCTGAAACTGAACTTACACGTTCCACGCGCTCGAGCCCTGCGAGAAATCGGTACGTTTTAGGACGAGCGGCCGATCTCTGGGGCAGGTGAACCAGCTGGTCCAAGGAGCTTTGCGGGAGATGACCTTACCTGTTTGCAGTCTTGAATTGTGTGCCTGAGGCTGCTTCGTGTATACAGTGGGTAGAAGTCAGGGCTTTGCTGCGGGAGAGCCCGTTTCTCTCGTTCTTTCGTCTTTGGGAGTACCTAGTAGAGAACATTTGAGAACTGGCTGATATTATTGCCAGCGCTCTGAACAGATCTTTACCAGCGGGTCTTCTGCGTTGTCCCCTGTGTACTGATTTGCAGACTTAACCCAACTCTGAAAAACCAGGGGGCAGCACTGGCAAGCTCAGATTCTTTTAAATTCTAATTTTACTCTGCCACTTCATGGCCTTGAACTGATTATTGAGTCTCTCTTAGCCTATTTCCCAATCTTTATGATGATAATATCTGCAATTTATTGGGAATAGTAAATGAAATAGCATCTAAAGTCCCAGCACAGTATTGAGGTGTTGGCATGTTTCTTTATTCCTTCTTGATGAGAAGATGCTGCTCCTCATTGGGCTTTAGTGACAGGAGTAACCTAATATATTGCTACATAGTTCACCCCTGCTCTGAATTCTGGATCCTCTTTCAGGGATTTAGAAGACCAGGGCATAGACAGCTGAGTTGACTCAAAATCAGTCTCTTCTTGCTGTGTGACCTTGGGATCGTGAAAAGCCACACTCTGCTCATAACTAACATGTGGATGTTAGTAACCTCCTAAGGTTGTTGTGGGGCTTAACTGAAATAAGTACTCAATATGGACACATTTCAAATTCAATTTCAATTTTCTTAACTGTAAAAATGGGAAGTAGACTTGGCAAGGCTGGCGTGGGATTAAAATCTTCTGCGTCTCTTAAAAGCATTTCATGCTTCCTAGTATTGCCCTCATGCCCATCCTTGTATTCACTGCTCAGTAGCTGACACAGAATAGGTTCTTTATTAATGTTTGCTTGTTTTTTCCCTAGGATTGTCTGCTCTCGCCTCCCCCACAGGCCTCCCTCCTCTTCATTGTGCTCATTTTTCAGATCTCAATTCAAGCATCTCGTCCTCAGCCCTGATCCCACACTCTAATCCAAGTCTCTTTGTTTTATGTACAGGTGGAACTGTATTTCCAGTTGCTTCCAATCATTTATTTCAATATGCATATGTGTATGTGATTAATAACTAGAAAGCTCCATGAATGCTAGCTGGGTGCTGATTTGGGTAACCATTTTATGCCCAGATCATAGCCTTTCTCTAAATAAACCCTGTAATGATGCCCCATTTCCTTCAGATTAAAAGCTCACTACAAGGGCTAACGGCGCTGTGTCATGTGGCTTCCCATTGCCTCTGGCTTCTCTGGGCACTGGATATCTTGCAGAGATGTTAATTGTAGTTTCACTGTAGCTTTCCAAAGTTGAACCCAAGCCTACTTCAACTGGAAACATGAAATCTTGGCACATTTTGTTTTAGTTTCAGAAGCAGAACAAATTAGAAGTCTGCACTTCCTTCAACTCTTTGGAATAATTTATGTACTAGAAATATATTCATAATTTATTCATTATAAACATTTACTAAAAGGTTATTCTGGGTCAGCACAGGAGCAGTCACTGGGGATAGAAGCTTTAAGGAGAAGGAAGGTAGATTTCCTTTTTGCCTTAATTTTCAAGAGATCTTGTTTATCCCCATTAGTTGAAACAGATTTAATTTCAGTGCTGATTTCCTCATAAAACATTTCTTAGAATAATAGCAGTTAGCTTTTAAAACATGTGATTGATTTGCAATTTAAAAGTCTATTTGCATGATTTTTTTCCGGTGAAAGTAGGCATGAGAAATTAAATGTTAGAAGATCTGAGTTAATGCTGGAGGTCATTGATAATTTGTGTTTTACATATGATAGATACAATAAAAGAAAATAAAGTCCTGTCTATGAGCTCATATCTCATTTCCATATTTGTGTGTATTTTATAGGATGGTTTATAAAATCCTCCAATGAACCTACTAACATCGTTCCACAGCATAATGTGAAGAAGGCATTTTTGGATGAATTGAAAGCAGAGAACATCAGAAAGTTCTTATAGTAAGCATATACTTGAAAGTTTACATGGATAATTTGTTGGAAAATTTTATTATTCTGTTTAGAAGTTTTGACCTAATATTTTATATGTAGGAACTGACTTTAAAAAAAATTTTATTTGTTCAAGATCTTCTATCACATTTCATCTGGGGAGGATTATACTTTCAGCTGAACTTCACCATTGTAGACATTTTAGAGCAGGAGTCAGCAAACGTTTTCAGCCTTTGCAGGCCAGCTGATCTCTCTCACAACTACTCAGCTCTGCTATTATAGCATAAAAGAAGCAACAAAAAATACATAAACAAGTGAGGGTGCCAATTCTGATAAAACTTTATGGGCACTGAAATTTGAATTTCATATAATTGATATGTCACAAAATATTATTCTTACTTTGTTTTTTCTTGACGTATTTAAATGTAATAACCATTTTTAGTTAGGCTGTACAAAAATAGGAAGTGAGCTGGATTTGGTCAGTAGACATAGTTTGCTGACTCCTGTTTTGGAGGAAGGTAGTACATCTTAGTCAAAAGAACAGACTTGGACTTTGAAGTCAAGACAGACAAGTTTAAATTCCATCTTTGCCCACTGATAGTAAAGTAACTTTGAGTGAATACTTATTCTTCCTGAGCTCTCATTTCCACACCTATAAAATGGAGATAATGATATTGTGATAACGATGAAATTAGAGACCGTATACATGACATAGTTTAAAAACTAGCTCCCTATTTCCTGAAATAGCTATCTCTAGGGTAGAGCAAAAAAGGTAGTTGAGTAAATATAAAAAGTATTTGCAAAGCAGCTACAAATAAAACACTTGTATAGAATTATGTATAGTTGATTAGAATACTTGGCTTTTTCAAAGCATGAAGTCCCTTTTTCATTTTGTTTTTTAGGTTTTTTTTTACAAATTAGCTTAGTGTGTATGTCCAAAAATACCTGAAGTCCCTGATAGTGATTGAAACATTCCTTAGTGAAAACAAGTTATAATTTTATATTAAAGACAGTTACAGATAGATAGATAAATGGATAAATATACACACAATCATATAAATACATAGGTCTATATTAATTGCAATAGAATTAAAACTATGAATAAAAATTTGCTAGGGCACCTCCCCAGCTTTGGAAGTGCCTTTTCAAGTGAGAGACCTTGAAGTTTAAACTTTATGGAAATCCGTCCTCTGCCCCTTGTACTTCTTTCATTATAATTAGGTATAACAGATATAATAAAAGTGGAGGTTTGGCAAGATATAATCCTCATTCATAGACAGAGCTGCTGTCCCTGCTTTCTTCTTCCTTCCCTAACTGTGACTTGGACTGATCAGCAAAGAAGAAATATGAATGCCTTCCTTTATTTCTCTTTCTGGACCCTTGAGGAAGTTTGAGCAGTCAGCTTTTTGCTTATTCTCCATGGTTCTGACCGAGCTCCTCTAACTGTTCAGAACTCGAGGATGTCCACCATTAACACACAAAAGAAAGAGTTTAAGAGAACCCCGACTCATCTCTCCAAGGACCACAGAATGTCCAGAAGCCTCCTGGATTCTCCAGATTTCCCGTTTGCTCTTTGTTCATCAGAGAGCTTTAAATCTAAATATACCCGTGGGTCAGGGGTCATTAAAGCCTCGGATCTTCCATCTTGTCCCCCTCTAAAGCCCTTTGCTCTGCTGCTAAAAATCCTCAATACTTGTAAGTTATCTGCCTCTCGATCATGGATGGGAGGATTACCTAGGGGTGCCTTTTCTGTCTTCCTTGGAGTGCAGAGTCCTCTTATGTTTTCCCTTCTGTTTTGTAAACACCTAGTTAGATTCTCAGATCTGTTCACTATTTTGCAACTTTTTAGAGGGACTTTGCTTCTCCACCCTGTTTTGAGAGACAAGAATATTTTAGAAAAGTGTTTTAGACCTCTGGTCTCAGAATTTCAGCGATCTGCATTTGAAAGCCAGTTCCACATTTTACCAGCTGCCTTGAAGTCATCTAACTTCTGCGAGCATTGTTCCTTCCTTTGTAAACCAGATGCAGTGTGTTAAAACAGGAACACTAATAGCGCCCTTTATTAATTGGGACAATGTGATGATATTTGGACCATGTTTAAACTTTTCTTGTCAGATAGAGATATATGAGCCAACTTTTTAATACAAGTTGTTGGCTATTTTGGATAATTTGTAAATTCTTCCTTTTTTGCAAAAACAATTTGATATTCTAGTAGGATCAACAAATTACTTGTGACAGACTTCTTACTTGATTAAAACACAACAAATTAAGAACTGCTGTTTAGGGGCCAGCCCGGTGCGCGTGCTCAGCTGCGGTAGCCCAGGGTTCGCCCGTTCGGATCCCGAGCACGCACCAACGCACCACTTGTTAAGCCATGCTTTGGCGGCGTCCCATACAAAGTAGAGGAAGATGGGCACGGATGTTAGCCCAGGGCCAGTCTTCCTCAGCAAGAAAGAGGAGGATTGGCATTGGATGTTAGCTCAGGGCTGGTCTTCCTCAAAAAAAAAAAAAAAGAAAAAAAGAAAAAGAACTGCTGTTTAATACCAGTTATCTAACTGAGCCTCAAATCTTTGTGAAGGAGTGAGGTAGCAATATTCTCCCTATGTACCGATGAGAAACTTAAGACATGGCCAGGATTATACAAGTTAGTGATAAAACCTATAACATACCACCTATATGATTTTATGACAATTAATTTATCTATCATTGGAAACAGATCTTTTTTCCTACTCATCTTTTTCAGGATCAGCTTTGCTCCAAATGAGTGAATCCTAGCCCTGATCATCTCACACTGTTGTATCCTAGTTGATATAACAAAACTCTTATAAGGAATTTCACTCATAATAACAAAGTCTGATAATGATCTCTTCTTTTTTTTCTTTTTATTTGGTGAGCAGGTTCAAGACTTCCACAGCACCTCTTCTTGCATGTAGGGACAGAGATATAGCTGTTATTTCAGGAAATAAGTAATAATAAATAAATAATAAAATAAATAAATAAAATAAATAAATAATAAATAATAGTATTATCTGCATCCACTTTACTTATGTTACGGTTTGTGATTTGTGTAATATAGAAGAAAATGGCAACATTGGCTGTTTTTCTGTTTTCTCTGCAGGTATACATTGATGAAAGGATAGATAGACTCCTTAGTGGCCTCTTAAAATTTTGTTCTTTTTGTTATTATATTTTGCAAATATACATTAGAAATCCTATGTAAGGTATTAAGCCCCTAAAACTTTACTGAACGAGAACTTTAATACTATTTTTGTAAATACAATTTAAACAATTTTAACATAATTATAAAATTAAATTAATCATAAGAATTTCCTTTTTTTAAAAAATTGAGTTATTTTCCTTGGTAGTTAATTTTCCAAATCAAAAATTAGATACACAATAAAATTAAACATTTGAAATTGGGATCATCCATAGTCATGTTGCCTGTTAGTTTCCTTAAAATCACTGTAAGGATGGACGTGTGTTGATTTTAGAAAAACCTGTGTATTTAGAACCAGAAATTCCTGAGGTTCAAGAAGTTTATGATCCAGAAATAAATAAATGTCTTTTCATGATACATGGTCCTTTGTCATATGAATCTTTTTTTCTTTAAGGGGTTTAAATCGAAAATAACCAATGAGCTGAATCTTCAGGGAAACAACAAATTTTCAGGAAGGAGAAATTTAAAACAAACAAACAAAAACACCAGTATCTAGATATTAAATGAGAGATTAGTCTACTCATGAAAATATTTCTGGTAGCCAAAATTTTGCCCACATAGTTTATTTGTTAAAGATATTCCTGGTCAGACTATTTCTCATCATTGATTTTAAGTGTATCACTATGCATGAAGGATGGAGTACAAGAGATCCAGTCTGAGCTTGTAAAAATATGTTCAAATTATTCCTTAATGAAGATACTTTATAATTGATTCTTAATCAAAAGATTTCTCACTTAGCTATAACTTTCAGTAGTTAAAAATGAATGTAATTATCAGTAATTCTTGGCATGTCACAGCTTGGTCTTTTGAATGAAAATATTTTTTTCTCTCTCAAATATATTTTACACAGTGAAATAAACAGATAATTCCATGAAAGTTCCAAGATGCATGGGTCTTAAGAAAGAATATAACACTTTGCTCATCTACTATATAGGGAGACATTCGCAGGATTGTACATGACAGTTCTCTACAAAGATCACTTTTTCTCTTGAATGAGTACAAAGAGAGCGTGAAAACTTCAAAAAACACTTTGAAAATCCATTTGATGCAATAATAGTACCACTTTGCTTTCTTAATGTATCACATTTCAAAGTATCTTTTTTATGCAAATCTGCCTTATTTGGTTGTTGATTTGGGATAAAGGCTGACTAAACATTAATTTCTAACCACTTTCAATTTTTGTTCACCAGTAATTTTACACGAATACCGCATTTAGCAGGAACAGAACAAAACTTTCAGCTTGCAAAGCAAATTCAATCCCAGTGGAAAGAATTTGGCCTGGATTCTGTTGAGTTAGCCCATTATGACGTCCTGTTGTCCTACCCAAATGAGACTCATCCCAACTACATCTCAATAATTGATGGAGACGGAAAGGAGGTAAAAAAGATAAGAAAGTAAACTCCCCCATCTGTTCTTTTCAAATACCTGCTATGAAAGAATGCCCTGTACCATCTTCAATTATTGATAAAATCAATATTATTGAAACTTGTGAATGATGCCTTTAATATCTCATTGCCAGCTTTCTTATGATGTTTGAGTTTAAGGTGATGTTGGAAAGATTCTGAGAAATTAATGCTTGATGACAGTTTCTATTTTCTATTTTTTAGTATTGCACACTAATATAAAATATGTTAGTAAACTTCCAACCAACTGAAATGCATACTTTTTTTTAATAGGTAATAGTAACCACTGTTTACTAAGCATTTCATAGGTTACTTGAAATATGGTACTAAATGCTATTGTATTATCTTTTTTTTTTATTGAGGTGATGTTAGTTTATAACATTACATAGGTTTCAGGTGTACAGCATTATAATTTAACATCTGTATATACCACAACGTGCTCACCACCAAAAGTGTATTTTCCATCCATCATTATATATTTGACCTCTTTCATCCATTTCTCCTGCACACCACCCCCTTCCCCGCTGATAACCCCCCAATCTGTTGTGTACTTCTATGAGTTGTTTTTGTTTTGTTTGTTCATTTGTTTTTTATGTTCCACATATGAATGAAACCATAAAGTATTTGTCTTTCTCCATCAGACTTATTTCACTTAGCATAATACCTTCAAGGTCTATACAATGGATATATTTTTGAATAGGTTCAGATTATAAAAGATACTGCATAGGTTTGAGGTTGCTAGGAAATTCAGAGAGACAGTGTGCTGTTTCAGCCAGCAGTTTTTCATTGATACTTAACGATTATGTCTCATATGATCAGGGGTTCAGCTCTGTGCTCAGAACTTGGATGTGGGCATTTGAAGAGGAAGAGAGTTTGGAGAGAAAGTCTATAGAATGATATCTAGTCTGAAGAATTTACAATCTTGTTTGCAAGTTAGGGCACATACTTGAAAAAGAGAAGATAATACAAGTAATTGAGATATTTCTTATCATGATATATATTCAATATGAAAGCTCATAAAATATAACTCACATATTCCTTCCTATTTATCATACCTTACTTTTAGAGCTACCATATCTAACTAAAGTAGCCCCTTTCAATCTAGACAGCTTTTTCAGTCCTCTTGTTAGCTGAGCCTCTAAATTGTGTACAACTTCAATGTCCCGCTTCATCAGTGAACTGAAAATGTCATGTGACTTAAATATATACAAATTTTAAAAAATTTTCAAAATATGTCAATGACCTCCTTATTGATTAATGAATCAGTCTCTTAATGGTTAATATGTTATGTTTTGCAGTCAGTGATATAATTCCATGCTAAATTTCCTAATATGATTTGAAACTTTCCATATTAACTACTATTTTAAATTATGGTAGCTAATAGTTTCTTTTTACAATATTAAACTATTTCAAAATTTAAAAAGTATTTTTGAAAAAGGTATGAGAAATGGCCACTATTCAGCATATCGTCCCATAACATCAACTAACTAAGTGGTGGCATATCTGTATAATTCGGTACTAAGGGGTCTTTAGAAGGATGTTTAGGACAATTATCTAATGACATAATAAAATATTGATTATGTTAAAAAATATATATATACTTAAACCTCTGTCTTGATCTGTCAAATTTGGGGATTATCTACGTACAATGAGGAAAATAGCAAGCTTTCACTTCTCTTCTTTTTTCCTTCTTTACCTCCCAATTTTGACTGTACCTTTGCTTTTATTATTCCACTTCATTGTTTGTTTTTGCCATTACAAGCATTTATTAAATTCTTAAAGCCTGCCACATATTATAAACGTATCATGTAGAAGCTTCATTTTGGAGATTTCCTGAATGAGTTAGCTGCCTCTTTTGGGTTCCTAGACCAATTTCTAATGTGTGTGTGGTGGCGTTTTCTCCACACATTCAACAAGCATTTCTCAGACACCAGTTGAGTGTCCTATAATTCAACTCAATTCTGATGCTCTTTACCCAGAGATAGTGTCAGATTCCACAGGTTAAGTGCTCAGCTCCACAAGACTGCCCCCGCTTCTTTCAGATGCCAGTCTCAAGCCCAGGTTTATTACCTGTACTTCTGACCTACGTGCTATAAATCAGAGGTTCCCACGGTCCTCTCCTTCGGCTTGATTAATTTGCTAGAGTTGCTCACAGAACTCAGAGAAACATTTTATTCACTAGATTACTAATTTATTACAAAGGATATTAAAGGATGCAAATCAACAGCCAGATGAAGAGATGATAGGGCAAGGTATGTGGGAAGGGGCAAGAAGCTTCCATGCCCTCTCTAGGCACGCCACTCTCCCAGCACCTCCATGTGTTCACCAGCCTGGAAGCTCTCCAAGCCCGGTCCTTTTAGGTTATTATGGAGGCTTCATTACATAGGCATGATTGATTAAATCATTGACCATTAGCAATTGATTCAACCTCCAGTTCCTCTCCCCTCGCTGGAGGATTGGGAGGTGGGACTGAATGTTCCTCTAATAACATGGTTCTTTTGGCAGCCAGCCCCCACCCTTAGGTCCAGTCCAAAAGTCACTTTATTAATGTAACAAGAAACACCTTTATCATTCTCCTCACTTAGGAAATTCCGAGGGTTTTAGGAGCTCAGTGCCAGAAATGAGGACAAAGACCACAGATGTATTTCTGATTATAAATCATAACATCACACTGCCTAAAGCTTTTTAATATTTTAAAAGTTATGTTGTTAGTTCATTTCCATTTTTATTTTTATCCAAGTTACACCTGCACATGAAGAACCACATAGTTCTCCAAAGTGCCTTGCTTCTCCCCAGTTCCCCCTTCCCTGAGGCAATCACCACTCATCCATGAGTTGATTCTCTTGATATTTACCTCTTTCTTTAAATAACATGCTTTTGTTGCTTGTGTTTCCAATTCAGGCATTATCTTTTGAAATAGTGACAATTTAGCTCTATTTTCATCCCTCTGTCCCAACTTACAGATGCTCTCTTACTGTTTCCCCATCTCTCAGTGTAGTTGAATGATTGTGATTATTCATAGCTGAGCTATGTGGTAAACTGTCAACTTTTACTCTCCTGCACAACACAGACAAGTTCCTCCTCCCACAGGCAACAAATATGATTAGTGTTTTGTAATTTCTACCAGAAATACTTTAAATATATGCAGACATTATTTTACCTTTGTTTATGTAGAGATAACATAACATATAGATTGAATTATATGTTGCCTTTTTTATGTCACAAAAAGTTGTCCATGTAAATAGTCAATAATCAGTCTATACATCAAAATTGAGGTGAGTTTATTATATGAGCCAGTTTGAGAACCATAGCCTGGGAGAAGCAACCTCCACCAGGGAACGAAGCACTCCAGAGAAGCAAGGTGTACAGCATGAGTGTATATCATTTGGAACAACAAACATCAAATATAGCAGGATCATCTTTTTTTTACTACAGTCACAAGATGTTTTGCTAGCACAGCAGGTCAGTGGTAATAAGACGAACACAGCAGGTCATTTGACCTTTAGTTTCTGAGAATAAATACCTATCTTTAAAGAAATGCTAATATGGGAAGAGGCATACATCCCTATCTTTAAAAGCAGCATTCTTTGCCTTGGGATATTGTAGATGTTTAAAGCAGATGTACAGTGCATGCTTGACAGGCCACGTCAGGCCATTCTGGACAAACAAGGACAGGCCGAATCAGTTTTAAACCAACGTGGCTACCTCATACACTTCAATATATATTAACTTTTCTTACTGCTTTTCATTTTGTTACTGTGCAAAAGGGCACAATCTGCTTGCCACAAGACCAAAGCCGATCCGTCAAGAGACAAGATGGTGGTAGAGAAAAGGCTTTTATTAAGCATTCAGCTAGCTGATTGGAAGATGGTGGACTAGTGTCCTAAAGAACCATCTTAAAGGGTATAGAATCTTGAAGCAGTTATATAGGGCTAGTGGGCTACAGAGGAGGGGGTCAGGCATGTTGATCCCCTGGGGTTGTAGACTGGGAGTCGCCACTCCAGACCTTTCAGCTGTAATTGATGATGGGTACCAGTATAGAATTTCTGTCTGGGGGTCATTACATTCCTAAGGAAGTTATCGTCTTATCACAGCTGGGAGGTACATATGCAAGCAGGGGCCATAAAACCTACAGAGCATGTATATCTCCCGGAGGATGCATGTCCAGCTGGGTTAGTTAATCAGAGGTCATTCAAAGTTACAATATGGCTTCCTTTCTCTAATATGGCTTCCCTTATGTCAACCTTGTGTTGAGTCAGTATCAATTTATTCATCAAAGTAATAGAAAATTATAAACCGAAATTGTCTTAGTTATACTCAGAATACATAATTTGAGGCTACAGTAGTGAATTTTGGAAAGCGAGCAATATTCAGTGGTATATAGTCTACCTTTGATAAAGTCACCCAAAAAAGTCATTTCTTTGACCTTAAAGAACTTCTCCTAGTTGTTAGAATAACTCATAAACTTGCTTTAAAAATCCACTGGCTCGGTGGTACTGTAAAATTGAAGATTATCCTTAAAGGCAAATCGAATGAGACCAGCTTGAGTCCTCTGTTGGCTGAAGGACTTGCTGATGTACTGACTTTGCTTCTAGGTGGATTTTTATTGCACTTTAGTATAGTTTCTCTTATAATCTTTCCCAGTGATTCAGATGAGTTTGTACCCTATGTGGATCACAGAAAAATTATGGGAAATGTGGATGGGGTGGGGGTTTTTGGAGGGTAGTAGATTTGGTTATCAGCCTCTGGAGAGGTAGAATGTTGGTGCTCTAGTTAGTACGATATGTCAGCCCAGATTCACCCCCCATCTCCCATCAACCTTTGTTCTACTGCACTGGCCAGGACCAATAGCATAATGTTGAAAAGAAGTAGTGATAGCAAGTATCCTTAACTTGAAGGCAATGTTTTTAATGTTTCACCATTAATTTTGATATTTGCTGTAACCCTTATTAAGTTATGTTAATTCACTTCCTTTCCAAGTTTACTAACACTTTTTGTTTGGATTTATGTTGAATTTGTTCAACACTTTTTTGGGAGGAGGGATTTTTGTTTGAGATGAGCATGTCATTTTTCTTTTTCATAATGATAATTATATTAAATGATATTCTAATATGAGACTAATCTTACATTTTTGGAATTTGTAACATTAGTCAGTATTAGAGTTTTAAATTTATATATCCATATATATTCAGTTTGTATTCATAGCACTTTTGTCCTATATTTTTGCAATTCGCTTGTTGGGTTATAATTCCAGATTATACTTGCCTTATAAAATGAGTTGAATTTTTAATATTCTCTGTAATAGATTGTGTTATATTTAAATGATCTTTTCCTTTAAACTTTCAGACTCAGAGGAAAACCACTTGGTCTTGATGTTTTGTTTTGTGGGCGACTTTAAATTACTGATTTAATTTCTTGATTGTTATAGGATTATTTTGATTTAAAAAATGCATTCTGGGCCGGCCCTGTGGCTTGGCGGTTAAGTGCGCGCGCTGCGATGCTGGCGGCCCGGGTTCGGATCCCGGGTGCGCATCGAGGCACCACTTCTCCGTTCATCCTGAGGCCGAGTCCCGCATACAGCAACTAGAAGGATGTGCAGCTACGACATACAACTATCCACTGGGGCTTTGGGGGGAAAAAAAAAAAAAAAAAAAAAAAATAAATAAATAAATAAAAAATGCATTCTTATGTCAGTTTTCATAAGTTTTTTTAAAATACATTTTCCATTTTATCTAAGTTTTCAATTATTGCCATAGTTCTTCCTAGTATTTTCTTATTATCTTTTTGAATCAGTGCAGCATCTGTAGATATGCCTCTTTTTTCACTCCTTGTATTATTTATTTATACTTTCCCGACATTTTTCTTTTTTGATCTTGACAGAGATATGTCAATTTTACTAGTATTTTCAAAGAATAAACTTTCAGCTTTGGCAATCAATCTTTTCTTATATATCTTTATGTTTCATTAAGTCTGTTCTTACTTTATAATTTCCTCTTTTACCTTCCTGGTGTTGATTTTGCTGTTCTTTGTAACATCTTCAGGTGAGTGCTTGATTTATTGATGTTCAGCCTTTCTTCTTTTCTAATATGAGTGTTTAAAGCCATAAATTTCCTTCTAAGAACCACTTCAACTAGATTTCACAAATTTGGATAAGAAATATTTTAGTTTTCATTAGTATCTAAATATTTTCTAATTTCTATGTTTTCTTCTTTGATCCTGGAGCTATTTAGAAATATTTTTAAAATTCCAAAATTAAAGGTTGTTCTTATTATCTGTTTGATCTGATTTCTAAATTAACTATATTGTGATCAGATAATGTGGTTTGTACAATATTAATCCTTTGACAATTGTTGATGCTTCCTTTAGAGCCTATTATGAGATCAGTTTTTATAAATGTTCTATGTTTATTTGAAAAAATATATGTATTCTTCAGTTGTTGAGTTTAATGATTTTACAATTGTTCATTAGTTCAAGTTTGTTAATTGTTTGAAATCTTTACCCTTGATGTCTGCTATTTTTATTAATTACTGAGAGAAGAATGTTAAATTATCTCACTATAGGGGTGAATTATTTTTATTTCGCTTTTAATTCTGTCAATTTCTATTTCCTGTAGTTTAGGGCTCTAGTATTAGAGGTAAACAAATTTAGAATTGTTAGTGAATTGAAACTTTATGTAGTGACATTCTCTATCTTTTTGACTTTGCCCTAAAATTTATTTTGTAAGATAAAACATTTTTTTAGGTCAGTATTTGCTTGGTATTTCTTTTTCAGTTTTGTTACTTTCAAACTTGCTGTGAACATATGTTTAAATCGTTCCTTCTAAAATGGTACACAGTTGATTTTCTTTAGTCTGACATACTATGCTTTTTAATTAGAAAGTTTTTTTACTTTAATTTTTTGTAATTGCTGATATACGGTACTTAGGTCATTTCTACTTTCTTACTATGTGATTTTTACTCTTCCTTTTTTCTCCCCAATGCTCCTTTTCCTCCTTCTCCTTTTTAAAATTTTATTGGTTTTGTTTCTTTTAGTAGTTTGGAAACTAAAAACTCCAATCCCTACTTAACAATGTCATAATTTAATCAATATTTTTATGATACAGACATTTTAGAATGCTTTAATTTTGGTATTTACTACCAACTTATACCATAATCTAATTCAATCTTGTTTTTATAAACTTGGGAAATACAAACTATTATTATTATATAGAGTCCATGTTTACTCATTTTTCCACATATTTGTAATACCTTTGCTTACCACTCTTCCTTGTATCATCCTAGAGCTTCTTTCAGAGGCTTTGTTTTGCTGAATGATATCCTTTAGAAGTTTGCTTTGTTTTAAGTGAATATCTATTGGCTCTAAACTGTTCATTTTTGGTGGGAAAATGTGTCTTGCATTTTCATTCTCAAAAGGAGAGATGTTTTTGTGGGACATAGATTGGTAGTTTGACAATTTTTGTCCCTTAGCACATAGAGAGAATAATAGACTGAATTATGGCTTTCGTTATTGCTGTTGAGAAGTCAGCTACCGATCCAATTTGTATTCTATTTGGGTATCTTGCGTAATCTCTTCTCTGCAACTTTTAACATTACGTGCTGTGTTGAATATTGCAATGTTACTGTGATGGGTCTGCATGTAGATTATTTTCTATTTAGCTTGGTCAAGATTCTTTGGACCTACTGAATCTGAGAGTTCATCATTTTTATCAGTTTTGGAAAATTCTTAGTCATTATATATTCAAATTTAGATCTTCCACGTTCTTTCTATTCTCTTCCTTTACAACTTTCATCGTATGTATCCTGAACCTTCTCATTTGATCCTTTAGGTCCCTTAATAATGCTTTCATATTTTTCATTTCTGTGAATCTGTAGTGCATTCTGGGTTATTTCTTTAGATTTATCTCCTAAATCAATTAATTTTTCACAGGTTTGTCTAAATATTTTTTACCCACACGTTATTTTTAATTTGTTTTGTTGGCTAATTTAAACTTTAATTCAATATTGTGTGTCTGATAATATAATAAATGTAGTCTTTGCAGGTCTGATTTTACTCTGTTCTTTCTGTTGGCTCTTTTCCGTACTATTTTGTGTGTGTGTAGTGATTTTTGGCTATGAGTTCTTCTTCCTTAGAACTTTGTGGGAATTCTTTAGGATCTAGGTTTAAAGCTGATTCTTCCTGATAATTTCTTCTAGGCCCCATAGGGCACCAAAACCTGGTACCATGTTAAAATAAAGTTTTTGCTTGAGGGATTTTATACCACATAGGTAGTGAGGGGAAAATTGTAGAATTATGAATTCTCTGGGGTATTTTTTTACCCTCTAACCCAAGCTATCACTTTTTGTGGGATAGGTTTATTTCTAGTTTATCCTTAACCCTAAAGGATGTTGCTTTTTGGAGACCCACTTTATGCAGGGGTCTCCTGTGAGACTCTATTATTTGGACCGGCTCTAGATTTCATCTTTTAACTCCTGTGTCCCTCTCATGGGGCCCCAGGCTTTGATAGATCCAACTAAGGCAAAAGCAGACTTTAGTGCTACCTTTCAGGATTCCTGCTTTCATGTAATTTTTCTGGCTTATGAATATTCCTTACATATTTTTTCCACTTCAGTGATACACTTAAAAAGATGATATTATATTTGGTTCAGTGTTTTTAGTTCTTTTCAGTGTGAATGTTGTTCAGTATATCTAGATACTGTCAGAGGCAGATTCTCCCCAAAATGTAACTTTTTATTGAAGTCAATTTAATATTTAATTTGTTTCTAAGTAAATTATCTTAGCATTGTTATAAGTGACTAAGATTACCATACAATGTTACTTTTCATTTGGGGATTAAAATTCTCCAAAATCAAAAGCTGGTGCTTATACCTCTCACAGTCTATAGTGTATTCATCTCACAAAATCCTCACAGTTTCTAGTGCAATGCTGGGTATTTGATATGTATTCTCAAAATACTGAAGGATTGATTAACCCTCTACTGAGAAAAGAGATAATACTCACTTTTCCTTGTTTTATAGTAGTAATCAAACTTTACCTGATTTACTTTTGATTATCATGTTTTGTGTCTCTAGATTTTCAACACATCGTTATTTGAACCGCCTCCTCCAGGATATGAAAATGTTTCAGATGTTGTGCCACCTTTCAGTGCTTTCTCTCCACAAGGAATGCCAGAGGTAAAAATGCAAATAATAAAACAATAAAATAAAACATAACAAGCAGATCCCCCTCAAACATGCAGGCAATAATTAAAGGGTTATAAGAGGCTTTTTGATGTAATCCAAATTCACCCTTTTTCCACAGTTAAGAAACTAGAATTTTTTAATAAGAAAAAGGAATATTTACTATTTTTTGTTCACCGTGGCTTTTTTTTGGTGAGGAAGATTGGTCCTCAGCTAACTCCTATTGCCAATCTTCCTCTTTTTGCTGGAGGAAGAGTGGCCCTGAGCTAACATCTGTGCCCATCTTCCTCTATTTTGTATATGAGATGCTGCCATAACATGGCTTGATGAGTAGTGCAGGTCTGCACCCAGGATCCGAACCTGTAAACCCAGGCTGCCAAAGCGGAGCGCACTGAACTTAACCACTGCGCTGCCAGGCTGGCCCCCCACAGTGTTTTTTAAGATAAAATATACTACAATGAGATGTGCAAATCCAAAATGTACATTTATTGGCTTTTGACAAATGAATGTAATCCAAACCCCCTCAACATATAGAATATTACTATTACTTTAGGAAGTTCCCTTACGTCCCTTCTCAGTCAATTCCACATACCCTTAGACAATCATTTTCTGATTTTTTTTTAATCACCATTGATTAGTTCTTTTTATGTCCTTAGCAATATATGTATTGAAAATACATGGCTTTGTTTTGTGTTTGATATATTTTAAATTTACATAAATAGTGTTATACTTTAGGTCTTACTTGATCTCTTATTATTTTCAATCAATGATCTTTTAAAAATCTCTCCATGTTGCTTTATGTCAGGTAGTTCATTACTTTTCACTACTGCATATTGTTCCATCTTATGTGCACACACGTATAACTTTCCTGTTCTCTTAGTGACAGACACGTAGTGTGCTTCTAAATCCCCATTATCACAAACAGTGTTGGAGTGAATATGTTCATACATGTCCCCATAGGGGTTTGCGAGGGTCTTTCTGTGTACGGTAAACCAGGCATGGGATTGTTGTATTGTAGGGCATACTTAATTTCACAAGGTCCAGCCTGTAGTAATTGGTACTCCCACCAACAGCATGTGAGTGTTCTTTTTTCCTCATATTTTTGTCAACACTTGAAATGACATAACTTTAGAATTTTTGCCCATCTAATTGTTTTATTGTTGTTTTAATTCATATTTCTCTAATTACATATGAGGTTGCTCCTCTCCAAACATTTATTAGCTATTCTGGTTTTTCACTCTGCGAAGTGATTAACTATAGTCTTTTTCTTTTTCTGCTGAATTTCTAGCTTTTTTCTTAAGTTGTTGGGGTTTCTTAAATATTTTAGTTATTCATCCCATATTGGTTTTAAATATTAAAAATATCTTCTCTTAATTTTTCGCCTATTTGTTCACATAATCTATGTTTCCCTTTATTGAAAAGAAATCTTAAATTTTGATATTGTCCAATTGTTGTCCTTATGTTTTTGCATTTTGGGTCTTCTTGATTAATTCCCTTTATATAATCAGTTAAAATCCCCCAAGTAATTTTTGGACTTTGACAAAATTATTCTACTCATAAGAGAGCCATAGAAATTATTAACTCGTTTCTTTCGAGTCGACTTATACTATTGCAGATTAGTGGGAGGACAGGAGGAGCATGTGATTCTGCATAGCATTGTTGTTTGTGTTCAAATATTAGATAGGTTTGCTGGCTAGTGGGTTTCACTGGATCACCTGTAACCCAGCCAGTGGAGTGTTAATTCTTTTTTAAATTGTGTATGTCTGTATGTGTGTTTAAGATATTTCACCTTAAGTAATCTTTGGATCTACATCTGAATCCTCTGGAGTGTAAAATACTGGGCTCTACTTTAGGCTGTTTAACATTAACAATTTGACAGTGTCCTTAAAATAGAGTCTAATCTAGTGGTTCTCAAACTTCAGCGTGTATCGCAATAATCCAAAGGGCTTGTAGAACATGGATTCTGGTGCCCACCTCCTGGGTTTCAGTAGGTTGTGAGTGAAGCCTGAGAATTTGTTTCCAAGGAGGTCCTAGGTGGTTTTGATTCTGAGGGTTCAAGAACCATGCTTTGAGAACTGCTGGTCCTGCCTCCCAGTTCTGTCTCTATTAACAAGAGCGGGAAGCTGGAAGCTTGAAAAAAACAGAAAATTCTAGGCTAACAGTGCAAGATTGTATTTATTCTCAGTCATAGAACAATGGTACAATGTAGATTTTACAAGAAGGTCATTGTCTGAAAACAAAGCTTTTTTCTAACTAACAGTGACAGCTTGCATTTGTGAAGTGCCAAGAGGGCTTATCTATCACACTTGTTTTCGTTTTCAAAGTTGATTGTCATTTTTTAAACTAATGTCTTCTCCAGTCCCTTCTCCATCATAATTTGTTTTGTGAGGATTGCAGATTTATCAAAAGATAGTCACAATTTACAGACATTTAAAAAAGTAGTCTCCCCAAAGTTGGTGATATTAAATAGGGATAAATTTCAAGTAGGACACTTACACTAAAACAAAATTCACTGAAATAAAATTGATTAATGACTCTGTATTCCCAGTTAGAATAAGAGTGAGCTGCAGAGAGGGCTAACAATTATAAATCAGACATATGGTGCCATCAGTAATAGTGCGTTAATATTGCATTGGTTTTAGGAAGAAATGTAAGAGCTAAAAGTAATCCTTTTACTAAAGCAAAGATTCAAATGTCACCTTCTCAATAGACTTTCCTCTTTTTATTAAAATTGCACCCACCCGAGTACTAGGTCACTGTTTGCCTACTCTATTTAAACTTCTAAAAATTTTTTCTACAACACTTTTAATATACTACATAATTAACTTAGTTATTAATTTATTGTTTGTTATCTTCTCTCTCATCTCTCCTCATGAATATAAGCTTCTTCAAGGACAGATATTTGCTGTATGCCTAATTCCTAGAGCACTGCTGGGCACATAATGATGCATCTTCAACAAGTTTGTCAAATGTATCTTAGAATCAACTTGGAAACAACTTTATTTTAGTGTCTATTATAAATTTGTTGTGCACATGCTAAGAGACATGTAGTCAAAGAGGAAAATAATGGTCAAAATAAAATTATAGGGTATTAGAAGTTGGCCAGGACAGGGGCTTCAAACTAGGATGTGTGACGACTTTTCAAAGGCAGACATGGGATTCTTTTAGAGAAATCACTTAGCTCATCAATTTCTCAGCATCCTCTTTCATAGAATTGCGAACTCGCCTGTGGTGAAGTCTTGCTGGTAGTCTGTGCCCATCTCCCTATTTACAATCATTTTTCTCTTATTTTATGAATGAAAGACATCTCTCACCTATCCTAAAACAATATGAAGCATATCTTTGAGTTGTAAAAAATCTCTGGGGCTCCAAACAAAGAGACAATAATGAAAGATTCTGATAGCTGGGTAACAAATGATTTGGCAAGTCAAATGGTTTGCAATTGAACAAAATTAAAGATGAGCCTAATTGAGTTTCCAACTGATATCATTAGAATTAACTTGGATAATAAATCAGTGTGTGATTTTGTGGGTTGTAACTTGGAAGGAGTTTAAATAATTTAGTGAAAATTCTGTAACAAAACTTCTTTCATTCCCATCCCAAGACTTCTAAGAACTTATGTCTACAAACAAGACATGTGCATAGAACTGATGCTGAGTCCTGTCTCATTCTAGCAATAATCTATTCATCCACAGATTCATGACCTAATGTTTTAACATCCCATATCATTAAAAGATGTGTTTCAAGTAAAATTTTATGCTTAAGTATTATTTATAAAAATTTGTAATGATGTTGTTAGATTCAATTTGATACTACAAATAATTATAATAATAACTGACTCCTGAAGAATTTTCTTAGCACATACAGCCTGTCACAGGAAATAAATATTTTTAAAAATTCAATTTATATATAGTATATTTTTAATTAAGGGAAGTTTGACAATGATTAATAAAAGACTTTCAAGCATACCCAGATTCTAGGTAAGAGAAACTGAAATGGAATTTAGTGTGCTAGATGTTAATTAAGGAGTGTTCTCTTGAGATCAATATCTGTAGCAGGGAAGGGAAGGAAGCTGGAGAAAGCAGAGAGAGAAGTCGCGCTCAATGCCAGCTCTGGGACAGCCTCAGCTGACCCAGTGGGCAGCTCTGGAGTCAGGAGAGTCCTTCAGAATTGTTGTGGGTTGGACTAAGACGTTCAGATCTTTTTACTCCCGCATCGATCAGTCATTGAATGTGTGGCATCCTAAGAAGAGGCATGACCTTGAGCAAGGTGCCTGTCTGTAGCTGACCTTGAAGAAGGGGCTGACAACTGAAGGCTGTCTGTGGGGAACCCTCCCTGCAGCTGGAGCGAGAACACCTTTATTGAAGGGGAGTCTGGGCGGCACATCCCAGAGTCCAGCACAGATATATTTTACTTTAGAGTAAAATGCTGTGGGGGAAGGGGTACAAAATACAAGTTCAAGGAGAAGAGAGAATGATATAATTCTGGCTGAAGAGAAGAGTGTTTTCCTATACTTTTTAAATGGATGATGTTGAAATGTAAACCGGTATAGTATTTAAATTCCTTTGGATACACACAACAAGTGAAGTGAAATTGCTTCTAAAAATGTTAATATTTATAATATGCTAGAAATTTCATTCTTTACTGCTGCTTAAAGGTATGATAAACAATTTTAGATGTTAACTTAAAAATATATGAGAGGGTACGTTGCTTTTCAAAATTAATTTAGGGAGAAGGTGAGCAAAAATTGTTTGAAAAACGTTGATCTGAACTAACAGGCCATTTTACAAAGGAGAATGTTGAAACTCAGAGAAGTCGTGACTTGAACATAATCACTAATGCTATGAAACCAGCCCCATAAAGCATTGATATTACCTCACATTTCTTCCTTACCTGGTGCTTGTCAAGCCCCGTTAAGCTACTATTTGTGAATGTACTTTTTTTTTTAATTTTATTTATTTATTTTTTTCCCCCAAAGCCCCAATAGATTGTTGTATGTCATAGCTGCACATCCTTCTAGTTGCTGTATGTGGGACGCGGCCTCAGCACGGCCGGCGAAGCGGTGTGTCTGTGCGCGCCCGGGATCCGAACCCGGGCCGCCAGCAGCAGAGCACGCGCACTTAACCACTAAAACACGGGGCCGGCCCCTGTGAATGTACTTTGAAGAGAATAAAGCTCTCATCAAGGGCTTCTTAACCTGGGGTGCCTGGACCCCTTCAAATTACATGCAGTATGTGTATATTTGTATGTATTTTTCAGGGGAACGCTTCTATAGCTTTATAGCCACTCTAGAGGAGATAGATACAAACAAAACTTACTATGTATTTAATTCATATGTCTCAAACCCAGCTAATTGCCTTCACCATTCAAGTTCGTTTCTCCCTTGAATCTCTTATCTGAGGTTTGTGCTTTTCTGATAGTCTTGCGTACTCTGCCTCTTCCCTGTTTCAAAGATGTGAAACCGTCCCCATGCTGAGAAACCTCTTTGTATTAAATCTAACTCGTACTAAATCATTCACGATCTCAACAGGGTGATCTAGTGTATGTTAACTATGCACGAACTGAAGACTTCTTTAAACTAGAGCGGGACATGAAAATCAATTGCTCTGGGAAGATTGTGATTGCTAGATATGGGAAAATTTTCAGAGGAAATAAGGTAAAACTCATCTCTTTTTCCTTTTTCCAAATATAAAAAGTTATATTATGTCTTATATGTGTAGAACTATATCCTTAACACTATCTGAGCACTGTGATCCTCTCATATTCTGTAACATGCCCACCTTATGGGGAGGGCACTAGCTTATAGACAGGGGTTCTAAACTGGGGTCATTGGAATTTGGCCAGTATAGAAATTCAGGGAGAATATAGATTTTTTTTGTACCCGCAAATTATGTCTGTGCTCTACAAAAAAGCATGAGTTGGATTTGTTGTTAACCTTCAGTATCTTTCTTTTGAATATTATCTTTGAAAATTTTACTAAATTAAATTTAATATGAGTTGTTATTATAGGTAATAAGAGAAACCAATTTATACACAGCAGTTTTTATAGTTACTATCACTTGATTTGTTAAGTTTTTTTTCTCCTTTGTGGGAAATTAAATTTCAAATGTATTCCCTTTCAACCATAGAAGAAGTGGGAATGTGGCCTGTGGAATCTGCTTGCTTATTGTGCTTCTAGATGAGTGGAAGGAAACAGCAAGTACTCACTACCACTAATATGGACATTTTCCAAATCTGCTGCTCTGAGGGCTGATCCAGCCCTGGAAACTCCTTTTTAGAGCTTGTAGTAGGAAAAACAAAAAGCCAGTTCTCTATGAGATGTCGTTTGTTGTAGGTCTGATTTGATAAAAGATTGAAGATAAAAACCTTGGTTACTTATTTAAGTGTAATTATGAAAATTGATATTACGAAATTTGGAAGAACTAATCTGAAATAAAAAAGACTTTGTGCTTTCTAGGTTCAAAATGCTCAGCTGGCAGGGGCCAAAGGAGTCATCCTGTACTCAGACCCTGCTGATTACTTTGCACCTGGAGTGAAGTCCTATCCAGATGGTTGGAATCTTCCTGGACGTGGTGTCCAGCGTGGAAATATCTTAAATCTTAATGGTGCAGGGGACCCTCTCACGCCTGGTTACCCAGCAAATGGTGAGTGATCAGGCCTTAATCATCACAGGAAACTTAACGAGACTTTTAAGTGATTTTATGAAAGGATTTCCTTTGATACAACAGAGTATGTCTTTTTCTTATTCTCTTTGCATCTAAGAAGTAAATTAAAAAGTTTTGAACTTTGAAAACGATTGGTTCAGGTCTCTTATCCCTTGTTTGGAATCCTTGGGCCTGATGGGTTTTGGAATTCAGACATTTTCAGACATTTAAAAGTAATATGATACATATACCATATATTGTGTAACACTCACATACAGGAAGCAAGCATCTAAATAGTTTTGCAACAAAATGTATGAATAATCATACTAAGCAGAGGTAAATAAGTATAAATATCCTCATGTCTGCTCAAGTCAGATTTTGCTGTCAAATGAGTTTGCATCAGATCAGGTTTTGTTGCCAAGTAAATTCCCCCCAATTTATGGTTTTCACAGTTTTTGGATTTCTCAGTTGTGAATAAAGGATAGTAGAACAGAAGTTCTATAAACCCCTGAAATGACACATTTAGAAAATAGAGTTTAGAAAATGTTTATAGCATCGTTGCTATGTAAAGACAATAGTGAAAACTTTCAAGGAGTGTTTCCTAAATGCTAGCTTTTTACATGCATTAATGGCCGTATGAGCTTCATAGTATTATTATCTCTATTTAACAGAGGAGGAAAGCGAGACTAGAAGTCAGCCGTCTGCCCAAGATCATCACAGCACTAACTGAGCAGTTGGGATTCAAATTCAGGCAGTCTGGCTCCAGAGTCCACATGCTTGTCTTATGCTGAAATGCTCCCCTGTAAGACAGTAGTAGATCATTAACAAAGGGAGCTAATTTATTTTCAATGTACTCGGCTACTTGGTGACGTTTACAAAAATCTGTGATCATTTCGTTTGTGTGGTTTAAAACTAACTAAGCTGTATGACTTGGATAATAGAATAGGTTGCCAAAGTATCTGTGGCATTTACATATTTATTCTTCATCTGATTTTTCTATCAAATTGTAGACTGCTCTAAAGCTTATGTATTTTGGCTTTGTAAATCTTCTTGGAACATAGTACATTGTCATAGATTATTTTTTTTAAGCAATATGTATTATCCTATAACAAAAAGCACATAAATCTACCTGAACTTTACTTACTGCACCTTTTTACTCCCAAGTTTAAAAAAAAATGCATCTTCTCCCAAGCTCTGTTAGTTATAAAAAGCTATAGATATGAACATAATTTGAGATTAACTGGAATATTTCTGTTGATTACCCTCAAGTTAAGTGATAGTATTTTAGGGGGGGAAGTCAGGTTATCCCAATGGGGCTCACATTTATTGAATTTCCTTTTGTGCCCTATTCTTTTTTATTTTCCTTTTTATTATTGTTATAACATACACAAAAGTAGAGATAATTATCGGCATTTTGTCAATCTTATTTCATCTCTTCATCCTCTCTTTTTTGGTTATTACTCTAGAGAATTTTAAAACAAATCCTACACAACATATCATTATGTCATTTTACCCATAAAAAGAATAAGCTTTTGCAATCATCTAAAGTTCTTATTAGAGAATTTAAAAATTTGGAGGAAAAAATGGGCAAACGCTCTTATTTTTCTTAAATCTGAAGAAATGACAGAATGTGTGTCTTTATTTTGAGGTAGAGGTTACATGTAATAAAATGCACAGATCTTAAGAGTTCAGTTCAATAAATTTTTTAAACTGCAGACATCTATGTCACTCAAAATAAGATATAGGACATTTCCGTGACTCCAGAAAGTTCTCTTGTGCCCCTTTCTGGTCAATTTTCACTACACTCCAGAAGCAACCACTTTCTGATATCTATCATCTTTGATTAGTTTGCCTGATTTCAAATTTTATATAAAGGGAATCAGACAGTATATATTCTCTTGTGCCTTGCTGCTTTCCCTCAGTATAATGATTTGAGATTTATCCACGTTATTGTGTGTATTGGTAGTTTGTTCCTTTTAATTGCTCAGTAGAATTCTTCTGTGGGACTATACTACAGATTGTTTGTTCCTTCTCCTGTTGACACACACCTGGACCGTGTCCAGTATTTGGCTACCCAAATTCAGCTGCTATGAGCAATTTTGTCCAGGTCTTTTTTTGGACATATGTTTTCCTATTTCTTGGGTAAATACCTAGGAGTGGAATTGCTATGCCATAACGCATAATTCTGTTTAACATTACTTTTCAGGAGAGTTATCCAAAGTGACTGTATAATTTTACACTCTTACAAGGAATGTATGAGAGTTTCAGTTGCTCCACATTCTTGCTAACATTTAAAATTGTGTTTTTTATTTTAATAGTTCTAGGAGATGCAATATTAAAAGTGTGTTTAATGTGATTTCCAGAGAACCTTTGAAAGGGACTGAATTTTTATTAGAAGTACATTCGACTTTTTTCAGAATATGCTTATAGACGTGGAATCACAGAGGCTGTTGGTCTTCCAAGTATTCCTGTTCATCCAATTGGATACTACGATGCACAGAAGTTCCTGGAGTAAGTTTGTAAGAAACAAACAGATCGCTATTTGGGTAATTCTCTTTATTGGCAGTCTTCAACTTTTATGCTTTTATCTCCATTATTTGATACTGAAATTCTCCGAGATGGATGGAGGATATAATTTTATCAATATTTTATAGAATAGTCGTTCTATTCTGGAATTTACTTTACATATTAGTATCTAGTGTGTGACAGCCTTGAAAATGAGCCTTTCAGGTCTCCAACTGCGGGGAGCATAATTGATCAATTGCTCCAGCCACTGTGCTTGGAAATCCATCAACTTGTGTGTGTCAAGGCCATGCTTCCTGTAGATGCTCCCAGTCAGTAACTGAGTACAGCAGCGTCCATCACTGGGAGGCTCAGGACTCCTCTGATGGGAGACTTTGGCTCAGGACTCCCTGATAGTCTTGCTCAACTAGGTGCCGACACTCTTCCCTTTCTCTTTATCCCATGTCAGACCTGCATGGCAGTCTGAAGCCTTTCCCAGCCTTCCTTAGCTCCCCTGCTCTTTTCCTCACAGGCCTTTCCCCCAATAAATCTCTTACTCATCTAATCCTCTTATTGTCTACTTCTTGGACGACCTGGAATAACACACTGTGAGTACAACTTCCATTTTATTTTCATCTCTATTTCTCTTCTCCCTCTGCTTTCATTATTGAAACTTCTCCAGAGTTGTTGTTTCACCTGACATTGGAACTCTTTCTCCTCTCCTGCCCTGCTTTCTCCCATCTACATGTCCCTTCTTCTCCGTTATCCTTTAGGAGGAGAGAGTACTGACTTCTCTGAAAGTAAAATTGCTAGAGACCAAAGTGTCTGGCCAGTTAGTCCCTTTTCTTCTTTGAGTTCAAGGCATTCTTTATCATTATGCTAGTATCTATAAGAAAACTTCTTATGACCCAGTGCAATGCTCTCATTTTTACAGGTGAGGAGGCTGACATCAAAGTTGGAGGGGGTCTGTCCAATTTAAGGGCAGGTTAAGGAATCGCACCTTGCTCTTTTTTTCTTTTGGGCTCTTAGCTTTACCACATGGATTAGAATTCAGGATTAGGCTCAACTTTGAGGGTGCCATGGACTATGCATTTGTCTAAACATATTTATAAATAAAGTCTACATATTCAAGATATTTAAAAGATGAAAGTGATTTTGGCAATACTTGTAATAGTGGAAAACTGTAAACAACACAAATCTTCAATAATTGATAAGTAGTCAAATACATTACTGGCTACAGTAGTGCATGAAGCCATTAAAATATATGTTGTACAAGAATATTTAATGATGTGGATACATCATTAAATCTTACCAGATATTTGAAGTGCTTATGCTGTACTATTAAGTGAAAAAAATGGGTTTCAAAACAATATATGTAGTATAATCTCAATTATGTAAAAGGAAATACATTTACACAGTTCAAAATTCAAAGGGGTATACAGTAAAAAGTTTCCCCCTTACCCATTTCCACCCCAAAGACAATCAATATTATTAGTTTACAATATATCATTGTAGAGATATGTATAATCAAGCCTATGTATGTTCTTTTTCACTTGCTTTCTACAACTTTTTTGCATACTTAATACTCTGCTGTTTTGACTATTGATTACACTTTTTTACCAATGTAAAATGCCCCTTTGTGCTACTTGATACTTTTCGTGTGAAATTTTATTATAAATAGATTAATAAATTTTATAGTATATTACTTGAGATGTTTATTAGCCAAACTCCCTAGTGAGATAGGAAAAAAGAAAGTAAACATTTACTCACTGATAGAGCATTTTAAAACAGAATATTATTTATATTCAGTTTCCCATGAGAATACAATCTTAGCGATTGTTTTAGTATTGGATGTAGAGTAGATTCTAGGTCAAGTTGAGCTATTCACGTTTCCTCACATAGGTAGGCAGGGAACAGGCACGTGTGTGCAGGCAGAGAGAAAAAGAGGAAACTGAGAGCGTGCTCGACTGCAAAGCATAGGGTTCATGGGGTATGTGAGCCGAGAGAGAGACACGTTGATGTTTCCCACTCTCTTAAGTTTGTCTGGAACCATCTTCTTCTATCTGGCACCGTTTAGCAAAGGTACGTTTGGTTTCCACGCTCAAATCAAGAAAAGGTCAATCTGTGCTCTTAATATAGTAAAGACAGACATGTTGAAGTAGAAGTGCGAGAGCCCCACCATTCCGTAAACAGTGTCATCCATCTGCTCAGTCACCTGCTGAGGGAGAGCCAGGGCTACTGGCGTGTACTGGTTGGTCACCTGAATCTGTCTACCTTTTTGCATTAAAAAAAAAAAATAGCATGAAGTTTTTAGGGGCTGCTGGTTGAAGCAAAATCCTTTCCTTGCTCCTCCTCTTTCCCTAATAGATGTGTGTGACAGTACTTTGTAAAGGATGACCATATACACATTTTGAATGTACGTTTATCAGTGGGAGAAATAACACTGGAAAATCCTGAAGACTTGGACATCAAGCTGTCTCTTCAGAGCACGCTCTGGAGAGCACTTTACATGGTTTACTATTGGAAACTGATAACAGAGTCTGAAATCTTACCAGATATTTGAAGCTGCATGACTTTGGGCAGGTTGCCTAATCTCTCTCAGCCTCATGGTCCTCATCTGTGAAGTGGGGATAATAGGAGAGCCGACTTCGTAAGAGTTGTGCTGAGGATTAAATGCAGATCGTATGCAAAGCACTTTGCACTATCCCTGACTCATAGAAGCTATTATGAATGGACACTCAAGAAAGCGAGTTCATTGACATTTTAACTTGTAACTTCAGAGTTTTCCTTCAGCTAATAATACTTTTCATATTCAATAGAAAAATGGGTGGATCAGCACCACCGGATCACAGCTGGAAAGGAGGTCTCCAAGTGCCCTACAATGTCGGACCCGGCTTTGCTGGAAACTTTTCTACACAGTTAAGAGACTACTTTTATTTTAACTCTTTTTAGAGAGAGGAACCTTTTATTAAAAAAAAAAACAGTTACAGAGAATGACTGAAAAGTAAAATCTACCTAGTACCAGAAGGAAACAAATCCATGGGTTGAAGAGGGGATTGCATTACGTCATTACGAGTTGGCCAATGTTGTTACTGTATACATTTAGAAATCTTTTAAACAATGATGTAAGATTTAAAGATTGTGGGTAGTAATCTGTTAAGAATGTGTCCTTTGTTTCTGCATTAGAAAAGTCAAGATGCACATCCATTCCAACAATAAAGTGACAAGAATTTACAATGTGATTGGAACTCTCAGAGGAGCAGTGGAACCAGGTAAATTAATCATTTGCTCAGCAAGTATTGACTGAGCAACTCTTCTGTGCCAAGTACTGCTCTGAGCTCTGGGGATGTAGGGTGAACTGAGCAAAGCAACTCTTTGCCCTAATGGAGCTTACATAAACACAAAATATATAAATATGAAGTAATTTTGTATTGTGATAACTGTTATGAAGAAAACTGAATGTTGAGGCTGTGCTAGTCATGTGACCCAGGTTAGTGATAGACTGTGTGCATGCTTCAATTAAAGGATCATGGGAGGAAGGGCAAGGAGATCGTTTTGAGGTGTTTTCTCTGAATTTTCCAGATTTCTTTACCACATATTTTGCATGGGGCTATATCTTCATGATAACTATAAACATCTATATAAAATATAGCACTTTTATGATGTATACGTGAAACTAATAGGATATTGTATGCCAATTATTCTTCAGTAAAAAAATTTAAAAAAATAAAAGGTAGCACTCAGAATATGAAAGTAACAAATCTTGACGTAGTTTTATTTTCCACTGAAGTTGATGAAATATCTATATGATTTCCATAGGCTTTCAGATGACCTGCTGATTAATACATTTTCTAAATAGTTTTACTTCATTATGTTCCAGTTCCTTAAGAATTATATGGTTATATATTTCTTACCAAAACAGATACAGTTAAATTGCATATCTTTCTTACAAGCAGCCAATGCTTTCTTTCAGGGATCAAGAATATTGATATGCTTCAATTGAGTACTCAATGGTATATAACTGGCTAGTGAATCTTACTGAGTACCTATGTTGTGCCAGCTCTGTGCTAGGCATTGGGAATGGAGGGATAAAAGCAGACATGGACCAAGGACAAGGAGAGCACAGTGTGGGAAGGGAGCCATACATTTAAGTGTGGTAAATGCTTTATCAGACATGAAAAGATTGCTCTTGAGAGCTGGGTAGGGGAGCAATTCCCTCCCCCTGTGGAAAATAAAAAAGTTCATAGAGGGGAAAAATCTTTGTGCCGTACCTTGAAAATTGAAGAGAACGAGTAGAAAGTGGAGAACTTACTATGTGGCCACTGTGTTCTCTTACTTGGAAAAAACTGGAAACAAAGTGGTAAGTAGGTATGAAGAGTACTAGGGAATTATATAAAGATAGGATAATTTTATACTTACTTATCATTACATATATACTTACGATCTTTGTGATGCGTTGAAGTATACGTGTGCTTATCACATTCATATTTTCTTCATACATCAAAATCAGAACAAAATAATGTATTTACACAAGTCTTCAGGAACCTTGCTGTCTTTCTTTGAGTCGTGAGAGCTCTGTGTTTAGATGCTATTGAGTCATTTGCAACTTGCTCTGTTATTGACCTGGAAGGACAAATAATTTTGCAATGATGTTTTCTAGACAGATATGTCATTCTTGGAGGACACCGTGACTCATGGGTGTTTGGTGGCATTGACCCTCAGAGTGGAGCAGCTGTTGTTCATGAAATTGTGAGGAGTTTTGGAACACTGAAAAAAGAAGGTAATATAAATAAAAAGTGAAAGGGCCACCTTTTCTGAATCTCAGTTTAGTCCTCTGTAAAGCGAATGTGAAAATACCACCTTCTCATTGTTTGTGTGAAGGGTCCACTGAGAGGATACATGCAAATTGTATCATCTTAATACCAGAGAGTACTTAGTAGTGCTTAGCATAGAGTAGCTTTCAGTAAATAGTAGCTGTATTACTTATACTGATAAGTTAATTATATTGTTTGTTTTTGCATTTATTTAAATAATAATATTCACATTATTGATATTTATATATAAAATTATAATCTGAAATAAAGGAATTACAGTGTTAGTGATTGCTCTTGGCAACTTAGAAGATGGAGATGGGTTTCTTCATAGGAAAGGACACACCAAGATTAGGTCATAAGCCAAAGCATCCTTGTCAGAGAACTAGGAGCAGAAGTTCCTTGGGCAGCTCCGGTCAAGTGTACTGAGTAACTGAGGAGCTCGAAACTCACTCAGGAAAATAGTGGTCTTGCTGCCTAATAGGATTCTATCAAAAGTTTGATGTCTGCATTCTCACACCCCCAGTCTTGGTTTGTTCTCCCAGAATTTAGGTTTATACTCGTAGCACCATTACTTCAGTCATTTTAGAATCTTCATATGAAAACCAAGATAAAATTTAGTTCAAATGGTTGCTTTTTAAAATAAGCATTACACATTGAGAGCAGAAGGTCCACTCTGTTTACTGACCCTGCAAACAAGGTGTCTGGGGGCTGTAAATGTGATCCATATTTTTTCAGCAACAATAAAAGTGATGACAAAAATATGTAAAGTTTGCATGGTATTTAATTTCTCAGAGAAACAAATGTTTTCAGATGTGCTATCTATTTTAAACTCATAGCAACCAGGGAGAAGTTTATCTAGTTTTTTCCATTCTCATTTTACAAGTAAGTTATCCAAGGTTTATGGAATCAGGTAATTCACCCAAGGTTATATAGATAGTGTGTGGCAGCGTCAGAGAACCAGGGCTTAAAATCAAATTTCTGGCTACCAGGCCACAAAACCATGATGTCTCTCTTTAAAATAAAATGTAAAGGTGCTATTCTTTTTTTCCACACAGTTATCTTATATTTTAAGAAAACAGAACTATAGAGACATGAATTTACATAGCTCATGAATTATGTAGTATTTAATATTATTACAAAAAGTTTCATGATTTTTGCAAGAAGATTCCCTGTGGGAAATACAAAACATCACAGGGACAATGATAGAGTATGCCAAAAGAATGCAGTGAAGAGAATAATAATTAATAGGAAATTTGACAAAAATAGAATGCTGGACTCGGCGGTAAGGATACACATTCTTAATAAACACAAATGAAATATTTACTAAAATAATGGCAACTTACAATTTTTGGAGCACGTGTTAAGTGCTATGTTTGTAAATATTATTCCATTTAATCCTCCCAACAATCTAGGAGTATCTTCATGTTTACTCTGGTATTCCTGGTGTACAGATGAAGAAAGGGAAGCTTAGTAAGTCTGAATAACTTTCCCTTAGCCATACTGTTAGTAGGTGAAAGAACCCGGATTTGAAACAAGATCTTTCTTGAACTCCAAGGTCCATGTTTATAACTCCAAGCCATATGACCTCCCTATTGAATTATGTGGTTTTCATCAGCAGCAGACATTGCTGTTGCTAACTGAGCTTCTGTTGACCAATTCTGGCAGAGAATGGAGTGGAATCACACCACCAGCTGACATGAACAATTGTTCGTGTGACGCCCAACATCACGGAAATGTTGTAAAGGATTTTCTCTCAGTTGTATCTGCTCTCAGAACACAGACCACATCTAGCACTTTTTTCTTTCATTCTAGGCAGCTGCAGAGCACAGCTGACTTCCTATGCGTATCCAATCATTATAAACTTATTAAAATATTTTATGACCTCACGGAATTTTTACTATGTCTACATTTTTCCTTTTTACAATACAAATGTGCTATTTTGTATTGACAAATCAGCTTTAAAATCTCACAAAAGGAAATGATATAAGTAAAAATTCTCACTACAATTCACCCTTCTTAAATAACTAGTGAAGTTTTTATTTTGTTTTTCTGTTGGGCTTGGCAATGTCTTGGATATGTTATGCATTTTCCTAGCATTTATATGTTACACATGTATTTTAGGTTGGAGGCCTAGAAGAACAATTTTGTTTGCAAGCTGGGATGCAGAAGAATTTGGTCTTCTTGGTTCTACTGAGTGGGCAGAGGTTAGCTGATAATTTGCTACAATATGCGTTTTCATAATAATGAAGTAATTAGGTCTTAATTGTAAAGATAACAAGTGAATCCAGTGAGAATCCAGTTGTTCCAGACAATCTGAAACAACATATTCTTGTTCAAAAATCAACAATAAAAATCTTTGTCACTAAAGAACTGTTTCGTTTGAACTTTTAAAGCCACTTCATATCAATTGTCAAAATAACCTATCTTCATTTTCTGGGAGGTGATAGTAAATAAGTAAATTCACTAAAAACCAAACATCAAAATAAGTATCATGTTCCTATTAGCCTTTCCATACTAGCTTGTAAAGCTACCCGCATTTAAATATCCACTTGAGCTTGTACAGTGAGGTATACTTTTCACATGTAACTTCCTCATATCATAATGACCTACTCTAAATTAAATCGCGTAAAAGTGAGGCAGTAAGTCCCACCACAGAATATTTAATAGACTCCTTGAAAAGTAATTTTACCTTCGTGTATTTATTGTTGACTTGGTAGAATAGAAGCATTATCTATAAAGTAAATATATTCAAGTTAACATTTACTCCACTAACTTCCAGTTATGCTGTAAATATTTATTTGGCTCCTATTATATACTCCATGAATTATGAGAAGCCCTGTAAACTTTTATTTTCTTTGAAAAAAAAGAGGTGCTCCTATAGGCAAGAAAGATTTATGCTAGCATCAGGAAAAGCCTAAATATTTTGAGGGTGTGATTTGTCTCTTTCAAATTATTTTCATCCCCTAGAGTTGTATATTTTTTTTCCATTTCTTTCTTACAGTGAGAATGCTTAGGAAATTGCATGTTTTGGAGATTCAGAATCTGCTTGATATCGCAAAAAAAATTTGGCTGTACTTCTGTCCGTTGTTAGATTATGCAATGATCAATCTTGACCAGTAGGTGGTGCCATAACTCAGGAGAACGTCATGTTTGAGGGTGTAGCGACATTATTTAACTTCACGTACTTTCAACCCATAAATTTGCAATAGCTCATTCCCTGTGAATCAGGCGAGATTCTCTACTTAAATAGAGAAGTTCATGGGAAGACGTCCACTAAAAGTGTCTCAGGTCATTCATGTTTGCTAAGAGAATTTCTTGAAGGATAACTATAGTATGTTTAAGAAATCAACTCCTTTTTCTTTTACCATATTAAGAATGTGGACAGTTTCATCTTGAATTTTAGTCTTAAAAATGTTTTGCTTTTTATTTCTTACCAATAATCTTTATGAAATTCTTTTAAACAAACTCTCTTTTGAGAATCTTATATATCAAATTTGTGGTTAACTTGGGGCAGCTTAATTCAGAAATCTGTATATGGTAAATGTAGATGTGCATTTTTGAGAGGAGGAGGTTATGGCTATATGTTTATGGTTTTCTTTCTTTTAATTATTATAGGAGAATTCCAGACTCCTTCAAGAGCGTGGTGTGGCCTATATTAATGCTGATTCTTCTATAGAAGGTAAATATCCTTGATCTCCTAGGAGAAGATGTGCGTGTGGTAGCAGCAGAAGTTTAGTTCATAAATTACGCACTAACAAGGAAGGCAGATCTGTTAACATGTGGTTAGGACCCTCCTGCTGGTTTGTGGGGCTGCTGTCCCCGACTCACAGCAGCTGTGAGCCCTAGAGTGCTATTGGGAGAGCAGCACTCGTCAATTTGTTTCATCTGGCAGACTCCCTTGTCTATGGTAGGAATTCAGTAAGTATTTGTTAAATGAATAAGTAAATCACGGAACTAAAGATTTCTATAATTTTAGAATGGGGTAGCAAAAAAGTATAATTTAAATTTCATCATAATATCATGCATACAAATTTTGAAAAAATGTTAATGTTTAAGATTTCATCTTTCACCAAGTACTTTTCTTCTTAAAAATTTTTTTTTTGAATTCAACAAATATGTACTGAGCAGCTCTCTCTGGAGGGTACTTTCCAGTATTTCAGAGGAATCAGAGGTTAGTAAAGAACAGTCCTGTACTTGGGAATTTACAGATCAGAATAGATGATAAAATAAATGGGTCTAGGATTCTGATATATGCAGGGATTATAAGGCTATATTCAGACTGATCTGGGAGTTCAGAGGAGAGAATAATAGCAACTTCAGGAAAGGCTTGAGAAGTGAGGTAGACATTTGAGACAGGCCTTTAAGAATGCATTTGCTTTTGATAAGCAGAGATTCGAACTAAAGGACGTTCCCAGGTCTATTTCCAAGAAGATCAAACAGTCCATTGTCACTATACTCCACACCCACTCACTAATCTTCCTATTCTTGACCATATGCAACTTTCCAGCCATTGCAACTGCTGTTCTCTGTACTCGGATTGCTGTTCAACACACTGTCTGTTTCATTCCTATCCTTACAGTCTCCCCTGAAATGGTACTTTTTCAGGGTAGCCATATCTCTGTAGCACTCATCACTGCCGTTATTAAATAATTATTTGTTTTACAAACTACCTCTCTTACTAGACTATATTCTTCAGCAAGAAACAGACAGGATCTTGCTTGATAACTCCTGGATTCCTAATGTCTCATTAAATAAATATTTATTGCATGCAGGCACCATCCAGCATTTAATAAATATTAAAACAATAGATAATATTTATTGCATGCAGGCAACAAATGAGTGAATAAATGAATGAGGGGTAGACTTTTAGAATCTTTAGTGTATTAGTAAATTTGCCATGTCAATAATAATTGAGACATTTCATTTTAATGGAGGCATGTTGGCATTTACATTTTCCTCTTTGTCCACGTGTCTGAGATACATTGTCCCCATAGTCACACAGTACATTTCAATCCTTGCCTCCTTCTCTTAGGTTTGTGGCTAAGGGCCTGGCCTTATTCCTGGCTCTGCCACTTCCTAGTTGTGTGACCTCAGGTTGTTGCTTACTTTCTGTTTCTCAATTTTCTCACCTCTAAATAGAGTTACTAAGAGCACATATCTCAAAGGTTCTTGTGAGGGCAAAAGAGGTTAATATTTGCGAAAATCCCAGACCTTGCACAGAGTAAATTTTGAAAAATGTTAGCTTGGGTTAGTATCACCCTTATTTAAAAACACATAAGATGAAACACCTTTGCCACACAGAATAAATGCTCCAAGCATATATTCTTCAAAAGTAGAAAAATGTTCTCTTTATTGCTAGTTGTTTTTTTGTGTGTGTGTGTGTGTGAGGAAGATTGGCCCTGAGCTAACATCTGCCATTCCTCCTCTTTTTGCTGAGGAAGACTGGCCCTGGGCTAACATTCATGCCCGTCTTCCTCCACTTTACATGGGATGCCGCCACAACATGGCTTGACAAGCGGTGCACACCCGGGATCCGAACCGGCGAACCCTGGGCCGCCACAGCGGAGCACGCGCACCCAACCGCTTGCACCACTGGGCCGGGCCCTGCTAGTTGTTTTTTAAGATTCGATTTTTAATGTATGTTTTTAAATCAATGGATTTTGCTGATTCTGTCATTCCCTGCCTTAAAATGCTGCATTGTCTCCCCATCATTTCAGGGTCAAGAGCAAATGATACACACGTTACTCTACGATTTGGACACTGCTTACCTCACTCTGTTTTATACTTAAAATTTTATTAAATGTTCATTTCTCAAATAATTCAATACATGATATATTGGCTTTCTCATCTTAAAATGCAAAATTTACTAATAAAACAAAGTACCAACAGTGTAGCAGGTGCTGTCTTAAGTTCTTTACATGTACCAATTTGTTTAATATTCACAATGACACTGTGAGGTAAGTACTTTTATTATCTCTGTTGTATAACAGAGGAAATTAAGATTCAGAGGGATAACGTAACTGTCTCAAGGTCACACAGGTGGTAAAGGATTGAGTTGAGAATCAAATCAAGCTGGTCTGTTCCAACGTTATCCTTCTAACCACTACATTCTATTGCCTCTTACTACCTTATACAGGTTTTGGGTATCATATTACAGCTAAATGGTTCTGCAACCTGCCTTTTTCATTCAGCAACATATTATTAGATATAGTCTCTTGAAAATAAAATTTCTACAATGTATTCAATAGAGCAAGTTATATATCAGTTCTCGAGCTGGTGATCAGATTGCTTCAGTTTGTTACAGTAAATTTATTTTTTATTTGCATGCCTTTTTCTTTATAAGGTGAAGGCAGAGTAGTGAGTTACAAGAGTCAGTGCTTGGTCGTGGGATATGTGCCTCAAATTGTAAGAAATGCTGCCAAACTGCCTCCCCTACCCCTCCAACTTACACTCTTACCAGCACTTCTTCCGTTTTAAAAATTGCATTGGCTATTTGTGCGTATTTATTCTTCCAGATGAATGTTAGAATCAGCTTTTCAAGTTGCATGAACACTTCTGCTGGGGTGTGTACTTATTTTTAAAGCCTCAACTTTTGCTGTTCCCAGACATGGATCTTAAGCTTTGGGATAAGAGCTGCTTGCCGTTCTCTGAGTGCCTCATGTACTTTTACATTTCTGGGCGTTTCTACAGGATATTCCTTAATGAAGTTGCCTTAACCTCCCCTCCCCAGGCCCCCATCCTGATTTAACCTTCCTCCCAGTGCTCCGGCAGCTTCCCAAGGGCACCTCTCCTGGCCGGTTCCCTTGACTCTCAAACTCATCAAGCACAGAATTCCTGAGGAATGGAGACACCATCCCGGCTCTCTATTCAGAACCAGCTAGAGAGTGCCTGGCTTACAAATTCATTTTTACACCAAATATTTTTTGGGCGAATGCTGCATGCCTGGGCTGTTCTAAGCCCTGGGGATAGGGCAGTGAATAAAAGAGAACACCTGCTCCCAGGGAACTTATAGTCTAGAAGGAGGATGGATAATAAAAATACAAATATTTAAGATGTTAGGTAAGTAAGTAAGAAGGGATAAATAAGCCAAGGTCGAGAGAAAAAGAGAGTGGCTAGGATGGGGGGGGAGAGTGTGCTCTTTTAGGTAGGATGTTTAGGGAAAAACTCAGAAAATATGACATGAGTCCAGAGGTCTAAGTGAAGTAGGGGAGTAAGTCATGCAGAAATAATGCAGGACCCTGTTCCAGGCTGAGGGAACAGGGTACGCAAAGACCTGAGACGGAGTCTGTTGGGGCGGAGTGGGAGGTGAAGATTTGGAGAGGTGACCCGGGGTTGTTTCCTGTATGGCACTGAGAGCCACAGTGAGGATGATGGATTTTATTGAGTGATGAGTTGGAGAGTTTTGATTGGACTTGGGTTTTAAAAGGATCAATCTTGCTAAGGAGTTAGGAATGGTCTTTGAATGAAAGCATAAAATAAAGAAATGAGATAAAAAAACAATCTGTCCTCTCCTTATCTTTCAGGAAATTACACTCTGAGAGTTGATTGTACCCCGCTGATGTATAGCTTGGTATACAACCTAACAAAAGAGGTAAAAATAGTTGCATATAATTTAAGAAAATCTAAGTTCTACTAATGAGGTTTTTTTGAGGTACCATTATTATATTAAACATCTGTGTTGTTTTATAACTTGTTGCCTTTTTTGATATAGTAAATGTCCACTCCATAGAACATTATATCTAATAAACTGTTTACACATGTTACCCCATTTCCCACACCACTCTGACGCAGCCTTTGGGTAACATTGTGTCTACCATCCCCATTTTGAGAACAAGGAAACTGAGCTCAGAAAACATTAGTCACCAAAGTCCCATAACTTGTACAGGAGATGAACCAGGATTTGGTCCTGTGGTTTAACTCAATGTAATGATACCAACTAATTCGGGCGACAGGAAGAGTTAAAGTTTCTAACTGATTGGGAAAGAATATGTGTAAAAACACCAGTGCTGACTCCCAGGGGTGAATCATCTTGGGGCAGAGGCTGGGTGAGACCGTGTACCCCACTCCCTGACTTCCTTCCTTGGGCTCCAATCCACTGAGCCACTGGGCTGGGCTGACAGCTAAAGTTATCTTAATTCTGACCGCAGCACAAGGTACTGAACCTGGCGGAGAGGTGGTGCCTGAATTCTTATAGGACTGACAGGCAGCTCTTCACTTCAGTGCTCCTGCCCCATAAATCCACTGGTCCTAAAGTGAGTCATAATGAAGGAGTTTTTGCGTGGCAGATTTTCGTTGTTTACTGCCAATTACCTGATTTGAACTGGAAAGGAAAAAAGACTTGCCCATTTAATATAATTACCAATTGAAATGTAATTACCAAGGAAAATGCAATTATTTCCCTCAGGTATAGGTATTTAAAATAAAACCTAAATATCATTAAGCTTTGGTTTCAAAAGCATGGACTATAGTTTTATAACTTAACTCCTCCTGTAGTAATAGAAAAAATTAATTTGAAAAAACCCTATTCATAGTGCCACTTAAGGGCTTCATCGTTTGCCTGAAATTGTACCAATTTCCATGAAATGTATAATAATTAAACAACTGAAACAGAATATTTCAGAGAATTCCACCATTCATGTAATTTAAGGTAAATGCTCAGGAAGCTCGGCGGTTATATTTGTTTACTGCCTGTGTTGGTGGCGTCATGGAACAATTACAAAAACACTACTCAGTCGGTCAGATTTGAAATTATGTGATGCTTGACAATTTCTGGTTTTGTTTTATTCTGTTTTGTTTGTTTTGGGAGAGTGATTTGCAGCATTTCAAATTTTAGTAATAAACTGAGAATTTAGCTACATTATTCCAAATTTGCATTTCTTAGAATAAATGGAGTCATACTGTTCCTTACAACAAAGTTTTGTGGATATTTATAAGCTTGAGTGAAATTATTTTGTTGCTTTATTTATTGCTTTTTTATAAATTTTACATTTTACAAGATGTTGACTTAACTTCTGACTCTCTCCTCATGCTTACGCAAATTGATTTGTGTTCCCATGACCTTTGCACATACCTCTATTATAGCACCTACCCCACTGAATTCCACATTTGTATTACAATTCCCACTTATTGAACATTGTATCCCTGGCATCTACAAAAAGCCTTAAGCAATGTAGGTGCTCTGTAAACTTTTTTGAACTGAATTCATTGAAAAATAGTACATAGCTCTTTTATTAAATATAAAATAAAAACATTGTATACCATAGAGTGTTCAGTTCCCTATGAATTGCAACATTAATTAAAGTTTAGTTTGCTAGATGTTTTTGGCATAACATCTAATGCTGAGTCTAGAATTCAATAGTAGGTCATATTTTACGCCCTTAGTTTTCTCCTCTGTAAAACCAGAGAATGTATCGAAAACCCAGTGTTTAGCACAATTACAATAAATACACAATTAAATAAAATATTAACGCGTTTGTTTTATTATGTATTATTTATTGACTTTGCCAACCTTACTGGCAAGAAGCAATATTAAAAGAAGCACCTTCCCTTAACCAGCTTGCTTCTTTCCATTTTCTTTTTTATAAGAGGAGGAGAAATATATATTTTTAAGAATAGCCTCCCGCAATTCAGAAAAAGAGACCAAAAAAATCTTATTATATGACCATTTGTTTGAATACAATGCCTTGGTAATAATTTGGTGTAGCTTTCTTTTCTCTATGCTCTATGTATTTTTAATAATAGCTGCACTTATACATAATAATATGAGATTTTCCCCTATTGTCAGAAACATTATTGTAATTCTTGATGACTGCTAATGTATGGATTGCTTCCCTTGTTTTGCTGAATATAGTTTTGCTATTCATTCTCTGGTTAATGGACATTTAGATTTTAAAACATCTGATTTGTAGGTATTCTTTTTTTTAACTTGTGTAGCTCCAAAGCCCTGATGACGGCTTTGAAGGCAAATCTCTGTATGAGAGCTGGAATGAGAAAAGTCCTTCCCCCGAGTTCAGTGGCATACCCAGGTAAACAAGCAAACAGAACTTTCTACTGAATTCAGTATGGGATTGTGTTGAAAATATAAGGATATTTTCTTTCAATCATTAATAATAAACATTTAATTTTTCAAAATTCTCTAACATCTGATAAAGGAAAAGCAATGCTTAGGTTTACAAACAAAATATTTGAAGTTAAATTTGCAGGCCATCAAAAAATGGTTCTCTTTTGAAGAGGAAATAAATACATGTGGTACATAAGTCAAAAGTTGTAATGGTGGAAAGTAATTCCCCCTCACATTTCTTACCCTAGTCACTCTATAAATTTTCTTTTTTTCTGAACATCGTAGAATTAACAAATATTTTGGTTACTCTAGGAAAAATATAGACATAATTTTTGTTATTGGTTGTATCTTCACAGGCAAGGGAAGAGAAATAAATCTCTCAGTAGTCTGAGATAATAGGTATCAACAGTATGAATAATTTACATTTTTAAGGATAGGATTTACGTCTGAATTATCTGAAAAATTTCTGCTTCTTTTAACTTTATTGTATACAACAAATATAAATGATAAAATAAGTTAATGAAGGAAAATATTTTCCAACTTGAATCTTTTTCAAAAAATGACATACAATTGTGATACTGTGATTTATAATAAGAAATATTATTAATAAGAAATATTATTCCCCATCCCCATTTCTGGCACAGAGCCTCTAAAATTCTTGGAATTTCCTGAGGGATGAGAACAATAAGGTGTTTTTTGCTTCACTTGTAACGAAGCGACTTTTGGATGCACCTAAGGATGGGGGCTGGTTGCTAGGAGAACCAACCAGGTGATTAGAGGGTTGGAAATTTCAGTCCCATCCCTGAACCTCCAGGGAGGGGAGAAGGCCAGGGAGTTGAACCAGTCACTAATGGCCAATGATTTAACTGATCATGACTGTGTAATGAAGCCTCCATAAAAACCCAAAAGGACGGGGTTCGGAGAGCTTCTGGGTTGGTGAACACGTGGAGATTTGGGGAGAGTGGCTGGTACACGTGGAAAAGGCATGGAAGCTCCGTGCCCTTTCCCCATACCTTGCCCTATGCATCTCTTCCATCTGGCTGTTCCTGAGTTCTATCCTTTTATAATAAACCAGTGACCTAGTAAGCAAGGTAGTTCTCTGAGTCCTGTGAGCTGCTCTAGCAAATTAATCGAACCCAAGGAGGGGATCCTGAAAACCTCTAATTTATAGCCAGTCCACCAGAAGCACAGATAACAATCTGGGCTTGTGATTAGCCTCTGGGGGTGGGCGTGGCAGTCTTATAGGACTGAACCCTTAACCTGTGAAATTTGATGCTATCTCTGGGTAAATAGTGTCAGAACTGAGTTGAATTGTAGGACACGCAAATGGTGTCCCAGAGAATTTCTTATTGTTTGTGTAGGGAAATACCCCTTCCCCCACAACATGTTTGGGGTCTAGGAACCCAAAGAACGATGGTCACCCCTATCCAAAATAGTCTTATGGAAGTAGATACTTTGTGATCGGAATTGGTATTCCTCTCAATTTTTTTTTCTTTTGCTGCTTGTCTAAGGCTATACATCTAATATTATATTTATAAGAGTAAGAATGGAGTTTAGCTTATCTTTACTCTGTACTAAGTGAAGAAATTACTCAAATAATCCTGTATTTTATCCCTGAAAGGATTAGCAAGTTGGGATCTGGTAATGATTTTGAGGTGTTCTTCCAAAGTCTTGGGATTGCCTCAGGCAGAGCACGATATACGAAAAATTGGGTAAGTCTGTCAGTAAGTTCTTCAAGATTATTTATGAATATATTTTAGCTAAACAGATAATTCTGAATTAAAAAGTCACTGAAGTGCTAGCGAATATAGGAATTTGAAGAGGTGGTGTTACTACTGCATGGGAGAGCTCCTGCATCTGGAATCCGAGCCTTGTAACATGAACTTCCGTGTGTTCCCTTAAACATATTTTCTGTTTCCCTTGGGGGCATTGCATTCACCCTGATACTCTAACTAGAAATGCAGGAATTGTCTTTGTCTCCGCTCTACCCGTTGTCATTCAAAACTAACCAGTGTCAAGACCTGCAAATGTTTGGATTTTTATCTCATTACATCTCCAGTCATTAGATATGAAAGTTATAACAACAAATGTCACAATAAACAATGAACACATGTGCAAGTCATGATTCTTTTCTTTTTGTTGTTGCTGCTGATGATAATGACAATTTGACAGTTTTTATTTTTATCAAAGTAACACAGGTGCATTGTTCATAAAATGTCATGTGGTTCTATGTGTTTTAAATGAAAAACTGGTCCCTTATCCTACCTCCATGCTTCTCCCTGATTCTGTTCAGCAGACTAAACTTCTTTCAACTTTTTAATTGATTTCCCCTGATATCTGTCTGCATGTTTATAAATAGTACGCTTATGCTGCTATTTCTTTATTTTTCATTTTTGTGTAGTATCCATTTACTTCTTACTAGGGAAGATAGGCATTCAGTTCTCTTATCGCTGCTTCTTCTCCCAACTCCCAAATACTTTCCCTCATTACGTTTTCTTGGTATATAGTTGTTCTCCACTCGTTGATTTGAACACCTTTTTTTTTCCTCCATGTATCCATAACTGATTCACCTGGAACTCTTAGTATATTCAAACACATCAGGTGATCTGGCAGATTTCCATCCCCCATTGGGCTCTTCTGCTCCTCTCGGCTCTCTGATTGTTCTCTCTGCCTGTGGCACAGCTCTTGCTTGTGAAATTTGCCTTCACTGAGAAATCTGGGAGAACCTTCATTTCTCTCCTGTTTTGGATCTCCTGTTTCCTGGATTTTGTGTCTTCCTTTTCTTATTTACTCTCTACTTTTTTTGGAGCACATCCTTCAGGGACTTCTTGAAAAGGGTGAATGAAATCTGAAGACCTTGCATGTCTGAAAATGACATTTATACTACACTATCTGTCTCTGTTTCTAATTTCTGGAATATCTTTCTTTATCTTTTATTTTTCCTTGAAATCCTTTTTAAGTTTTCCTCCATTCCCTGCAGTACCTCCTTACTGTGAGTTGATTTTATTTTAGTTTGTGTGCTTGGTCTGTATCTTTCAAGTTAAAGGCTTTCTTCCAATGCCTGGTTGTCTTTGGCAATCTGTTTTATTTAGGAGTGAGACCATGAAAAGTTGACTGAAGCCCTGTACACAAGGGTGGCACTTCTCGAATGGGAGGCTTCACAGGATAGTGATGGAGAATGCCTGTTCTAGTTGCTTCATTGCGAGGCAACCAACATTAAGAATCTGTAGGTCTTTTCTCTTGGGCTAATTATTCTCCCCAGACAGGAAATCTTCATTCTCTTACCACTGGGGCAGGAAGTTAGGCAGAGTTAGATGGGGATGGTGATGAAGGTAGATGTTAATATTATCTACATTTTACTTATGAGAAAACTACAACGAAGAAAAGCTAATAACCTTTGGGTTAATAACCACCTAAAGTTATTTGGTAATAAGTCCTGAGGCCTGGCTGGATTCAAACTCTGGCAGTCTAATTCCAGAGGCCCAGTCTCTTCAACACACCACTATATAAAGTGTTCTTTTATATCAGTAAAGAAAAATAAGCAGTTAAAAAAATAGGCAAAAGGTGTAAATCAGCAATTCACAGTTTGAAAAGCCCTTCCCTCTTGCCTTTTGTGTATGTTCTTGGTTTCTTATACCTGTCTAAGCATTCCTTCTCTTTCCTTAGTGAGATTTTGGACCCACTCCTGAAACCCTCACTGCTCAGACTCTTCACTCTTGAGCACACTGCTTGTCAGAGAATTAGTCATCCATGGGATTTCAGCCATTAAACAATTTGTAGCATTATCTTTTGTAATATTGTATAATGCTTATTTACTTGCCTCTAACAATTTTCTGTCTTAAATTATTTTTACTCAAATGTATCATTGTCTTGTCTTTGTTTCAGAAACATTTCCACGTCTCCTGTATTCTTAAAGGCAAGACTATTAAGTCTTTCCAAAATAATTTTTTTAATATCATTTATGTTATATACACATTTTTTTTATTTTGGTGAGGAAGTTTGGCCCAGAGCTAACACCTGTTGCCAATCTTCCTCTTTTTTTGCTTGAG